TAGTGTATGCAAAAACTTAGCATGATGTACAGACATTAAGTAACCTAAAAATTGTGTTAAAATTTCCCTGTTTTTCCCATAAAATACATAGATTATATAGGGAAATACAACTGGTCAGTTTTGACCGCTTTACGAAGTTTTCCCAGATATGCCGAGTTTTTTGTGACACCCCTAGGTGTTCTTCTACCACCTCACAAAATATCAAGGGGGGTCGTCGGAGGAAATTTTTTTTCGTAATAGAGCTCATATAAAGAGAATTTCACTCGCGGTCACTTTTTAGCCCTCGTCGAGGGTTTTGAGTGTAACCGACAGTTTTCCCTAAAGGTCAAGCCATTGACCTAGGAGCATGCAAAAAATTAGCCAGATATACTGAGCTTAAGTACCCTTAAGTCTGCGTTGAAATGACCCTCTGTTTCTCCCATAAAATACAAAGATTATATAGGGAAATACAACTGGTCAGTTTTGACCGCTTCACGAAGTTTTCCCAGATATGCCGAGTTTTTTGTGACACCCCTAGGTGTTCTTCTACCACCTCACAAAATATCAAGGGGGGTCGTCGGAGGAAATTTTTTTTCGTAATAGAGCTCATATAAAGAGAATTTCACTCGCGGTCACTTTTTAGCCCTCGTCGAGGGCTTTGAGTGTAACCGACAGTTTTCCCTAAAGGTCAAGCCATTGACCTAGGAGCATGCAAAACATTAGCCAGATATACTGAGCTTAAGTACCCTAAAGTCTGCGTTGAAATGACCCTCTGTTTTTCCCATAAAATACAAAGATTATATAGGGAAATACAACTGGTCAGTTTTGACCGCTTTACGAAGTTTTCCCAGATATGCCGAGTTTTTTGTGACACCCCTAGGTGTTCTCCTACCACCTCACAAAATATCAAGGGGGGTCGTCGGAGGAAAATTTTTTTCGTAATAGAGCTCATATAAAGAGAATTTCACTCGCGGTCACTTTTTAGCCCTCGTCGAGGGCTTTGAGTAAGACCGACAGGTCTGCCCTACGGTCAAGCCATTTACCTATAAACATGCCAAAAATTAGCCAGATGTAAACAGGGTAAGTGCCCTAAAATCCGTTTTGAAATGACCCTCTGTTTTTCCCATAAAATACAAAGATTATATAGGGAAATACGACTGGTCAGTTTTGACCCATTTCCCGATTTTTCCCGGACATGGCGAGTTTTTTGTGACACCCCAAGGTGTTCTCCTACCACCTCACAAAATTTCAAGGGGGGTCGTCGGGGGAAATTTTTTTTCGTAATATAGCCCATATAAGGCGCCGGTCAGTCGAGGTCAGTTTTGACCCCTTCTCCGTAGACTTTTCGGCCAACCGTCACCGGCCTTCGTGTTCTATTGCCCGAAGGCACCATCGTGCCAAATTTGACGCGCCTGCGGCGCCGGGAAGTGCCCTATCGGGCACTTGACCACTTTGCTTTATATATATAGACTAGACATACTGCCTAGCTTCGCTTAGGTTTTTAAAAAACATTTGAGAGTTTGAATAGTTAATTATTTAGCGATGGATTGGGTGTGGAGTGCTTTAATAAGTTTAATTTAAACAGTAATGCTAATTTTAGAAAATAATGTTTTTGTTCGTCATTTACACTAAGCTCTAGAAGAATTTCTGGAAAGTACGCAATGTATAACTAAAATGGAATTAGAACTACACAGGTTTCATGAACAGTATATCTCATAGTTTATATTACACTGCCTTTTGAAATTAATTAATTTATTTAATTAGGTTACTTATCTTAATTAACAACTCAATTTTGTACTAAAACAAATGCTATACTTCGTCATTTTCTGTTTCTGTTTAAAATAGCATACAATTATTTGAAAAAAAATAATTTCAAAAACGTTACCTCCCTTGAAAACTGAACGTATGACGTATGTCATTGTTTACTTATATTGTTTGCTTATATAAGAAATTACGTTATATGAACATATTTAACGACTATAATGGCTGTTTCCGACGGGAATAAAGTTTTTTTGTTACCCTCCATGGTCGGTCTACGACGTCACATAATATTAAGGGGATCGTTCGTCAATTTATTTATATATATATATCTCATATAAGGAGAATTTCACTCAAGATCATCTTTTAGCCCTCGTCGAGGGCTTTGAGTCTGACCAACAGTTTTTCCATACGGCCTAGTCATCTATATTAGTGTATGCAAAAACTTAGCATGATGTACAGACATTAAGTAACCTAAAAATTGTGTTAAAATTTCCCTGTTTTTCCCATAAAATACATAGATTATATAGGGAAATACAACTGGTCAGTTTTGACCGCTTTACGAAGTTTTCCCAGATATGCCGAGTTTTTTGTGACACCCCTAGGTGTTCTTCTACCACCTCACAAAATATCAAGGGGGGTCGTCGGAGGAAATTTTTTTTCGTAATAGAGCTCATATAAAGAGAATTTCACTCGCGGTCACTTTTTAGCCCTCGTCGAGGGTTTTGAGTGTAACCGACAGTTTTCCCTAAAGGTCAAGCCATTGACCTAGGAGCATGCAAAAAATTAGCCAGATATACTGAGCTTAAGTACCCTTAAGTCTGCGTTGAAATGACCCTCTGTTTCTCCCATAAAATACAAAGATTATATAGGGAAATACAACTGGTCAGTTTTGACCGCTTCACGAAGTTTTCCCAGATATGCCGAGTTTTTTGTGACACCCCTAGGTGTTCTTCTACCACCTCACAAAATATCAAGGGGGGTCGTCGGAGGAAATTTTTTTTCGTAATAGAGCTCATATAAAGAGAATTTCACTCGCGGTCACTTTTTAGCCCTCGTCGAGGGCTTTGAGTGTAACCGACAGTTTTCCCTAAAGGTCAAGCCATTGACCTAGGAGCATGCAAAACATTAGCCAGATATACTGAGCTTAAGTACCCTAAAGTCTGCGTTGAAATGACCCTCTGTTTTTCCCATAAAATACAAAGATTATATAGGGAAATACAACTGGTCAGTTTTGACCGCTTTACGAAGTTTTCCCAGATATGCCGAGTTTTTTGTGACACCCCTAGGTGTTCTCCTACCACCTCACAAAATATCAAGGGGGGTCGTCGGAGGAAAATTTTTTTCGTAATAGAGCTCATATAAAGAGAATTTCACTCGCGGTCACTTTTTAGCCCTCGTCGAGGGCTTTGAGTAAGACCGACAGGTCTGCCCTACGGTCAAGCCATTTACCTATAAACATGCCAAAAATTAGCCAGATGTAAACAGGGTAAGTGCCCTAAAATCCGTTTTGAAATGACCCTCTGTTTTTCCCATAAAATACAAAGATTATATAGGGAAATACGACTGGTCAGTTTTGACCCATTTCCCGATTTTTCCCGGACATGGCGAGTTTTTTGTGACACCCCAAGGTGTTCTCCTACCACCTCACAAAATATCAAGGGGGGTCGTCGGAGGAAATTTTTTTTCGTAATAGAGCTCATATAAAGAGAATTTCACTCGCGGTCACTTTTTAGCCCTCGTCGAGGGCTTTGAGTGAGACCGACAGGTCTGCCCTACGGTCAAGCCATTTACCTATAAACATGCCAAAAATTAGCCAGATGTAAACAGGGTAAGTGCCCTAAAATCCGTTTTGAAATGACCCTCTGTTTTTCCCATAAAATACAAAGATTATATAGGGAAATACGACTGGTCAGTTTTGACCCATTTCCCGATTTTTCCCGGACATGGCGAGTTTTTTGTGACACCCCAAGGTGTTCTCCTACCACCTCACAAAATATCAAGGGGGGTCGTCGGAGGAAATTTTTTTTCGTAATAGAGCTCATATAAAGAGAATTTCACTCGCGGTCACTTTTTAGCCCTCGTCGAGGGCTTTGAGTGAGACCGACAGGTCTGCCCTACGGCCAAGCCATTTACCTATAAACATGCCAAAAAAAAGCCAGACGTAAAGAGGGTAAGTGCCCTAAAATCCGTTTTGAAATGACCCTCTGTTTTTCCCATAAAATACATAGATTATATAGGGAAATACGACTGGTCAGTTTTGACCCATTTCCCGATTTTTCCCGGACATGGCGAGTTTTTTCTAACACCCCAAGGCGTTCTCCTACCACCTCACAAAATTTCAAGGGGGGTCGTCGGAGGAAATTTTTTTTTCGTAATATAGCCCATATAAGGCGCCGGTCAGTCGAGGTCAGTTTTGCCCCCCTCTCTTTGGACTTTTCGGCAAACTGTCACCGGCTCTCGTGTTCTATTGCCCCAAGGCACCATCGTGCCAAATTTGACGCGCCTGCGGCGCCGGGAAGTGCCCTATCGGGCACCTGACCACTTTGCTTTATATATATAGATATATATATATATATATATATATATATTTGTGTATTTGTATATATGTTACTGTCAAAGTGCGGTCAAAGCCCGCATTTGCCGGCCACACGTTGAGTTATAAGATTTAAGTATTAAACTTTAGGTTATACGCTGTAAACATAAACGAAATAAAATCACAGAAAATATCCTTATACAAGCCTTGATTGAAGTGCATTTACTCAAGTTCTATACATTTTGCTATGATACGTCCCCCCCCCCCCCCCACTTCCCATTTCCCGCAGAATCCCACACCCCCCTTCCCCCCACCTTCTATATTGATTTAGTTCAAAATCCAAAGTCAATTTTTTGCAGCTTTTGTTGGGTCTATTTTAACAGTTTATTTCGTCACGGATAGTTTTGACGTTACGCCTTTGTTATTAGATTTTTTTCATTAAGATAGTATCTAAACTTTTTTTTAGATTTTCCCTCTCTTTATTTAAATTTTCAAATTGTTCTTCACCTCGTGGTGTGTTTATAATTATTGCATGTAATTTACTCAACTTCGTATTTATCGACTCTGCCATATCCATATCTATTTCACTAGGCCTGTTTCAAACAGTGCATTAAAACAGTTTCTAATATCAGTTCTAAGTAGGTAACTTTGCTAAATTTACCTATTGGCGTATCGTTTTCATACACATAAACATAACAAAGCAGTAAATCACACGAATTAATGCGTAATTATTGTCAAAATTATTTTATTTCAGGCATCGTTTGACAAAGTATTTTAGGGAAAAAAATATTGTATTTTTATACAACTAATCATGAGAAATGTCATTCAGCTCATTATACTCTTGATGGCTCCCATGTCAGTTGGTGTAACGCAGGCCCATACATTTCAACTTATTATAAAGTGAACCAATCGTATTAAAAATGTAATTGTAACAGTGCCACAAAAACTCCCAGCTAAAGTAACTGGGTATGTTGTTTATCTGCGAATTACACTCGCTTATGAACTGGTTGACTAGTTGAAGTATCTCCATCCATTTCTGTTTTTCATTAGGTGGTACACCAGCTGCCGCTTCATTTACATCCAGGGTATCTTTTAAATCAACAAATTCGAACTTCTCTTCTCCCCTCGTTTCACAGGGACTTTCAACAACGTTATCATTTTCATTAACAACAACGACATTATCTTTTACATTAACAACGACAATATCATCTTCGTTAACAGCATCGAAATTGTCATTTTCATTAACAATCACATTATCTTTTTCATTAGCAACGACATTACCTTTTTCATTAACAACGACATTATCATTTTTATTAACAACGACGAAATGATCTTCATTCAAATTCAATATTCCACAGAGAATCTCAACGACATCTTTTATCAATATTAAACATTCTCTAAGATCCGATAAATATGCCACCGTATTCTCCGGTTGGTTTTGCTCTGTTTGCGAAGCTATGTGTATGTCTATTTGTGTCTTAATGTCACTAACATATGACATAATTAACGCATGAATTGAATATTCGAAACATTCGCGTGTGTATGGGTCAGACTTTAAACAACTGAGCGCTTCTTTTAGGTGATCTAATTGAGCAGTTCTAACAACTTTATCATTTGCTTTGTTGTTGAACACAACACACCTTTCACCACATTCTTCAAACAACTTTTTTATGTCACCCACTTGTTGTTTTCTCCACCCATCAAACTTTTGCTGAATCGTGCCACTCGAACCCTCGTCGTCATGGTCCAGCTGAAAAGAGTCCCCATACGTCATAACAATGACGCCCCATTTCTTAAAAACATCACGACCAAATATTTCTCTGATGACGGCAATAGTGTCCTTCTCCTGTTTGGTGAACCTGACACCGTACTGTAACACAAGTACCACAGCATCGAACCCGTCAGGGCAAAGGTCAAAGGCCTTGAACCCCGAGACAGCTAGCTTTAGAGCCAGGTACTTGTCAGACAAATCTTTGTCCCTCACACTGATGCCGTCTACAACTGTGATGCCAGTCCAACGGGAGGAAACACCATCAACAGAATTCTCTTCATCGGGTAAGCTGTAGTTTTTGGCTTTAAAAAAAGGTGAACCAAGAATAGAGTTGCCAGTGGAGCTTTTGCCTAGACCTTCTCTTCCAAGCAAGAGGATAGACTTTCTTTTCTCAAGATTTCTGTAGAAATAATAATTAGTACAGTTCCTCGTTCAGACCTTACGATTCATGGGGCAGATATAGTTCATGTTCATGGACATCGGCATATAAAGGAATGGTGTGGTCAGCACTATGCCCAGCCACCTTTACTGCTGTGGTCAGCACTATGCCCAGCCACCTTTACTGGTGTGGTCAGCATTATGCCCAGCCACCATTACTTTCCTTATCGTGAGTCAGGTACCAGTAGCGTACGCAGGGGGGGAGCAGGGGGAGCGGCCGCTCCCCCTCTGGCCATTTTCAGCAAAGTGGCGCCTTTTTGAAACTTTTTAAACTCTAAGTTTTAAACAATGATATTTGTTAAAAAATATTTTTGGTCGGCACATTTATGTAAATCACAAGCTTTCTTTTCATGCAGCAATTAAGCATTTTTGTACTAGTCTAGTAGTGTCTACGTTTACAACACGTATTAACAGCTGCATCAGTTTGCCATTCTAAAAATAACCATTAGGATGCATTGCAATGTTTAAAAAACCTTTACGGGTAGTACCACTTGGCAAGAGGGGTGTTAAGTTTAAGGCAACTGTATAATGTATTTTCTTACGAATAATTGAATTAGAAAATGTTATACATAAAACTTCACGCATAATTACTTTGTATATAGGCCTACAGTTTGAATCGTGTGATCAATTAAAAAAAAATTACAATACAGAAACAAATGCAACTGATGTGGCACCTCTATTTAAATTTACTTATGAGCAAACTGCGGAGTGGTGGGGAAATTTTGACAAGGTCAAAAACGTCATCACGATGAAGTAGTAGTATTCTTACAGTTTGGACGATAGTGATTACGATTATAAATTATATGAAACAGTTACAACCCCCCTCCCTATTTCTGTAATATGTATTTGTGTAATATATATTTGTGTAATATATATGTATGTTTAGAACAGTCATCTACAAACTGACGCTATGTTCACTCTGAGTTGGTTATCTCGGATATCTCCCCCCCCCCGCACACACCTCACCACCACAATTGTGTAGAGCGACATTAATGTCACACCTAGGTATACACTGGGTTGGATAATTGACCTAAAGTGACCGGACAGTGGTGAATGAAGTTGTTCCCCCCCCCCCCCAACCCACCCTGAACTGATCTGTTAAGTACATGTAGAAAAACGCGTAATGATGTACCAAAGTAACATGCCGCCAGAAAATTAGCTTTGTAAACGTAAAACTCTGTAAATATTGTTTTTGTAATTACCAGTAAAAAGGTGTGTGATCAATACAGTGATCTAACCCATACCTATCACCATGTTAAAAATGATCTTTAAAGAACAAAAAGAAGCGATAGTTAGTTAAAAATATATGATCTGAACTAAAAGACAAATTATTAGTTAAATGTAAGCTGTTATTCCGACCGTTTGTTTACTACATCGAAAAGTGTGGTTTTTATACCAACTCTGATTTTAAAAACTTTCATTATGCTGTAATACTTTAGCATTTATGATGACAATATATTAAATTATGATTATAGACAAAAACATTTTGTAAACACGAATAGTGTTAAACAATTTTATTATATTCTAAAGTAATTATTTATTTGTTTTGACATTTATAATTAAATTTGTAGATATATACATATTTATATTAAGAGAGTGATTATTTCCCCTATTTCACTTGTCTTAAATAATTTCTCAGGAATTATTATGTAAGAATTTTTTTTACAAGAATTACAAAACAGATTGTGATACGTTCATTGTTTTTGGTTGTAGTGTGTGCATATTTTATTTTTTAGATTGATACAATTTTTGTTTGTCGCCCTTCATTGTGTGTTTTTTCTTATTTCTTCAGAGTGCTACTTTCAATTTATTTTACATCATAGCAAAGTAATAACATACAGCTAGTAATTATATATATATATATATATATATATATATATACATATATATATATATATATATATATATATATATATATATATATATATATATATATATATATATATATATATATATATATATATATATATATAATACACGTATATAGAACGTGTTAAAAATTCGGCGCCTTTTTTTGCTCTTTTCGCTCCCCCTACAACGAAAACCTGGATACGCCTCTGTCAGGTACCCATCAGAGCTCGATGAACTCACCTATGTCCTGCATTCTCGAGCTCGGATCTGTATACAAACTTGAGACCTCTGTGCTAGCAATCCATCACTCTACCACCCGACTACACCGTCCAGTAAGAACAATAATTACGGTGTTAATATGTGTGTGAAAGTTGTCAAAACTCGAATAAACATCAGTAAGAGCTGCTGTAGGTGTACGATACCGTGAACACACAAGCTGATAGATTTTATATGGGTTAACTGTTGGTTCACTTCCCGTGCTAGGGCTGTTAGTAAAATAATGGTTGATCTAGTGGACCAACCACACATATTTACCACCTGTATTTATTATTTGTATTTGCTCAACCCCGCCCCCCCCCAACCCACTCTCCACTCTCCACCCTCAACTCTCAACCCCCCCCCCCCCCCCTAACCCCCACTCTTCCACACAACATAAACAAAATACCTTGAGGTCAATTCAGCTGACATGGTAATCAGTATGGTTATGGAAGACAGGCTAGAGATCCTCTTCTGGAACCAAGATGGGCGACTACTCTTGTCAACTTCTGTTCAGTGTGAAGTTCTTATTGGCACTACAGTCAATAAGTAGGCAGAAAGTTTCATCATTGTTTCGATAAAACCTATTGGTTAAACTTTTTTTTTCACAGAAAGGTGTTTTACAAAAAAATCGATTTTAAAAACAGATGCTTTACGCAATTTCTTTCAGACTTCTCTTTGGAGGCAACATATTCCCCTTCCCCGAATCGCAATTAACACTACCCCGCACCCCGCCCCTTCGAAAGGTTAAAGTGTCCGCCCTCTAGCAAAAAAATATGTCTGAAAGAAACACTGATTACAAAGCGTTGAATGCCTAAAAAAGAAAACAAACGTAGATATCTAGTTCTAATTATACTTAATTATAGAGTAACATATTTTTTTATATTATGGATGGCTAGCTGTCATGGTTAGTTACATTTGATCATTTATTTCTTTAAACAAGCTTAATCATTACTAAATCATTAACATTACAAACTTTACAAACGTTGCTTAGTTAATTACTTACTGGCTTGTAACATCAGTAGATTTCTATACCTTACAACATAACGATTCACTGCAACACGCCAGGCTTGTTGTTGAAATAACTAGGTCAATGATCATGCGCAGCTCGGTTGAAAGCTTTCTTTCTCAGAAAATATAATCTAAAAATAGATACCAAAACACGTAATGGAAAATGATTCATCTGAACGAGAGCTGGTTAACAGAATGTTGATAAATAAAAAGTTGGAGAAGATACCTAAATTATAAGCTAAAAATTTATTTCGTTTAGGTTCTATGTAGCCTATCAGTCTGTTTAAACTTTTAAAATTGTGTGCTCAAAATAGTTTCTTTATAATTAGATAAGGACAAAAACAGACACGGATAGACCCAGAGTTTTTTTTCCAGGCATCTCTTCGGGGGGGGGGGGGGGGGGCGCTCGTCTGACCCCCCCCCCCCCCCCCCCCCAGAAAAATTCTACCGCCCCCCCCCCCCCCCCCCGAACGAAATGAAATTTATATAATTTATGTAGAAAATATATACTTTTAACAGTGTCCGCCCCCCCCCCCAAGAAAGTCTACCGCCCCCCCCCCCGAAAATTTCAAGTGCCCCCCCCCCCCCGGAGAAAATAGTCTAAAAGAAACACTGGATAGACATAACGACAGACAAACAGTGAGAGAAACCGATGATAGACAGAAATAATGTTAGACAGACAAGCATACAGATGGACAGACAAAACAAAATGATTAGCAAGATAACAATGAACACGTTTTGATCACAGTAAACCCCTACCTCAGAATATCTAGCTGTTTGTATCTATTAATAGCACGTACACATGCTGATAGGGTCTGACACACAGTGTCCCAGTTTGGCTAGGTCACATGATCGTTGCATCCAACGTTTAGGGGGGGGGGTAAACTGTAAAGGTTATAACCCCAACCCCTACATGTAAACAAACCATCAAAGATTAACCTCTGGTACAGCCAGCTGGTTGGATGGCCTTGACATTATATGACCTAGATATAAAGTCTACTGCTGTAGTCGTTTAGCTCGACATTTATAAATACAGCGATGCTGCATAAGATCATTCATTTACCGTTTCTACAGTTTAAATCAATTAAGTTAAATTGACTTGTGAGACAGAAGAACACATTAAATGTAACTTAGACAAATGTTAGCGACGTTGATGTTGGTGTGTTATGCAGTGGCGTCACTAGATCGGGTGACTATTTGTACAGTAACTGAAGATGTTACCTCTCCCTCTGCAACAATTTTTTTTTATCTGTTTGGTGTCACCCTTCCTGTCTTCCATTTTATTATTTGAACTGGAAAGAAAAGGTTTTTTTTTTCGTCGAAAAATGTGCCAACTTTTCGATTTGGTGTCACCCACAGTCGTCCTTAAATACCTAAACTCTACTTCCGCTGCTTAACTTACATACTAGACTTGTTCCTCTAATCTGCCCACTACCATTTCCCACCCAGTAATCCTCTGCCCACTACCATTTCCCACCCAGTAATCCTCTGCCCACTACCATTTCCCACCCAGTAATCCTCTGCCCACTACCATTTCCCACCCAGTAATCCTCTGCCCACTACCATTTCCCACCCAGTAATCCTCTGCCCACTACCATTTCCCACCCAGTAATCCTCTGCCCTCTACCAACGCCTACGTAGAGGTCGAAAACTCGGGATTAGGGAGGTAATTGTTAGCGATATTTGAGGTTTTACACACCTTTACAGAAGCTCACCGGATTTCTTAGCATTTTAAGGCTGGGAATTATTTGTAAGCGGAGCAAACCAAGTGGAAAATATCCTGATAGAGATCTGTCGAAAGGGATCAGAGGCAGAACTGATGTGGGCGTGGGTGAATACAATATCTACCAATCAAATCAGATATAATAGAATTTAAAAATCAAAGAGATTCGACATGATTCTTAAGTAGACTATAAGAATTTCATTTATTCATAACAAGGAAACAAACAATGTTGTTAAAATTGTAATTTTTTTAATTTAAAAGGAATTTAAAATGTAAACTTTGACAACACATGTGTAGATATGATTTTTTTTTAAATGATACTACGCCAGTTTATTAATGAAAAATAGAAAGGTTGAATCGAATTAAATCAACTTCTTATCCGCTATCATAAAACAAAGACATAACTTGAGATTTACATATACATCAATTGTAATTGTAAATAATTTATTGATAAAGATTGATGACGATTTTCTCTAAACAGTTCACGTGAACATCCCATATCAGTTGTTCTAGGTGTATATGGCTATTGATATGCTGATTGGTGAAAGTGTGTGAGATGGGGTGTGTGTGTGTGTATTTGTGAAGGTGTGTGTATGAGTGTAGGTGTATGAGTTGGCGTAGAGATACGTGTGTTTGTTTAGTATAATATGGGTGTACGTCTGTTAATTGGTTTAGGTGTGGGTTGATATACACAAGTTTATATGCGAAGGTGTGTGAGTTGGTTAAGTGTGTGTGTGTGTGTGTGTGTGTGTGTGTGAGAAGGCTTGTATATTTGTATGTGCATTTATGAGTGTATGTGTGTGAGTTTGGTGTCGGTGTGCGGATTGATGTAGCTGTGTTTATGTGTAGGTTTGTGAGTTCGTGTAGTGGTATATGTAAATACACAAGTGTGTATAACATGTACCAACGTAACATGTCAGTCCATGTACTCCATTCTTCTCTCAAAAAACTGCTTAACTTTGTGTATTCTCCAAACATCATCAGGCACAACCTTGATGGTACAGATGTAGACATGCTGCAGAAAGTTTGTTACTGGTTTTCTAATCACACTGGGGCCATAGGGGTAGAGTACTAGAATGACGTAAGTCATGGAGTCGAGGGGAATGATGAAGCAAGTAGCAATTAAACTGTATGCTCTAGACATTACGTTTAACACACGTCTGGGAACTTTAGGCATTATGTTCAATAGACTTCTGTATGCTCTACACAGTATGTTCAACACAAATATTATTACAACAAATACTAATCCCTCATCATTCAAAGCTTTAATTCTTTTTTGCAGGTGCCGAATGTCCATCAGCTCGCTGTACAGACTTCTTGACGAACCGAATTCATGAATGATTTTTTCTTCTGCTTCATTTAACTGCTTTACAAATGTCACCAGTTGATCTTTAGTCGTGTCATGACGATCCAACGACCGTTTAATGTCGTCAATCAACTTCCTGACTACAACTTTAAACTCATCAATCTGGACTGACCTAATCATTTCATCGCGGGCAGGACCAGCCCTCTTGAAGTCCTCCCCGCTGTACGGCCGACCAGCCGGTAACTGTTTGACAAAAGACATCAACTTCTCTCTCTGTTCCCGTCTCCTGACCTCGTCTCTTGTCTTGTTGTCAAACAACACACACCTGTACTTCATCTCCTCCAACAAATGTTGTATATCCCCACGCTGTTCCTTCAACCAACTCTCAAAACTCAAATCAGAATCCTCAGCATCTAACTGAAAGTTATCCCCATACGTCATCACCATGACGCCCCAGTTTCTCAACACGTCTTGACCAAAGACTTTTTTCACCCTCTCCACGGCGTCCTTCTCTTGTTTGGTGAACCTGACCCCGTACTTCAGCACCAATACAAACATGTTTATCTTGTCTCCACAACTCTCCAGCGCCATCTCCCCGGAATCTTCTGTGGCCTTTATCCCCACAGCCATGTCGTCACCCGTGTCACCCACACACCAACAGTTGACAACATTAACCCCACCCCTGGTGCCATCCACAGCCGCAGCATCATTCACCCCCAGGTTACTCCTAACGTTAAAGACATTCTCTCCCAGAATAGAATTACCCGTTGACCTCTTGCCGTTGCCAGTTCTTCCCAGTAGAACAAGATTCACCATTTCCGCAATTTTCTACTGAAATTTTTAAAAAATGCCATTGTTAGTCTACACCACCACTTAGATGTCTAAGACTGGTATTAAGAACACTAAGTGGACAATCCACTCGATACTATGATTTGTGAAAAGAAAATATCGAACCTTTTAAAACGGTAAATTATATCACTATATTAGCTGGCGTATAAGTCGACTAGGCATATAAAACAATACCAAATATTTAGTTAAAAATATGAAACACAAATTGTCGTATCTTTAGATTGATGGACGAGACCAGGTGTTTACGTGACCCTTATGACGACACCAGGTGTTTACGTGACCCTTATGACGACACCAGGTGTTTACGTGACCCTTATGACGACACCAGGTGTTTACGTGACCTTATGACGACACCAGGTGTTTACGTGACCCTTATGACGACACCAGGTGTTTACGTGACCCTTATGACGACACCAGGTGTTTACGTGACCCTTACAATTCGGAAGATTTTTGGGGTTCGGCGTGGTCGAGTCGGTAAAGCTCATGATTGCTAAACCGAAAAGTCTCGAGTTCGAACCCTCGGGCAGATGAGGCTCGTTAGCTGGGGACAGCCACTCTTCTAGGAGAGACAACTCCAAAATTAAACAACTGCTGCCTTGTAGTTTGTTCTTGGTTGGACAAAGGCTATGGAAGCAAATCCAAAAAAAGAAAAGCAGGCTGAAATCGGAGTCAATGGCCTCAATGGCGCATAACCAGTTGACACGTAACGCTTAATTGTGTTGGAGGCGTGGTCGAGTCGGCAAAAAGCTCATGGTTGATAAATTCGAACAAAGTCTCGAGTTCAAACCCACTGGCAGATAAATCTCGATCCCCTTCAACACTAATAATTAAGAACGAAGAAGAAGAAGAAGAAGGAAGATTTTTCTGGTTAGCAAGTCACCTTATACGCCGGAGAACACGATAAATGTAATTAATGGCTTTTTTAGATAATACACATACAGATACTTATATTTTAACTTTGTTGCGGAAGGGGGTGTTTAAAAAAGCACGCGGTCAAAACGTTAAAAATAATTTTTTTATAGTTTTGGAAACAGTACACCATCAATTTTACTTAGTTATATACATTGTACCCTAGTTCATTTTTCAAAATAATTAGTTGTGTGTATTGGGCTTTATTTACATCAAACAAATAATACTCTGTGAGTCCACATGCGGCCTACAGTTTGACTTGCAAACAAACACACGTTTAAAGATTGTATGCAGAGTTTCTTTCGGGCATCTCTTCGGATTTTTACCGCCCCCCCCCCCACCCCGAACGAAATGAAATGTATATAATTTATATAGAAATTATATACTTTTAACAGTGCCGCCCCCCCCCCCCCCCCGAAGAAAGTCTACCGCACCCCCCCCCCCCCGAAAAATTCAAGTGCCCACCCCCGGAGAAAAAAGTCTGGAAGAAACACTGATTGTATGTATAAATCCACAAATTTATCTAAATACAGGCACGCTTTTAAAACTTCGCAGGGATTAATGTACGGATCAGAAAAGAACTTACAGTAATATCTTTTAAAATATAGTTTCAAATTATTCTGTATACCTATATATCACAGCGTCGTCATACCGCACACAAATGTATTGAATACAGCGAGTGGACGAGGAATGCCGAAACCACACGTATAATCAATATCACATCCATAGATATAACAAAACCATCGCTTGGTATAACAAGCATACCACTAACATCAACGAATGGTCGCGTATGACCAACGAGCTGTTAAACTAGCACTCAAAATTTAGCATGAATAACCCCAGTTTAATTTCTAACGAAACAACAAACTGTAAACATAGAGCAATATATGTTAACGTATTTACCTACCGTAACAATGTAGTGAGGAGATATTCACGTACACAAAGCCGGCACAACTCTGAAAGGAGTGAAAGATGCAAGTTTTGTAAGTGAACTTTAACCCGCGTCTAACTGGGTCAGGTTTTCTAGGAAATCCCGATTTTACTTTTATTAGAATTAGATCCAGTTCTAGGTTGACGGAAGAAAGTTAGGTTAAAAATGTGTCCTTTTGTTTATTTCATTACGTGCGTATCAAAATAAAAACGATTTAAACATAATTGTTAGAATTTTATTGACAAAATATTAATAAACCCTACTTTTTACACAAAATATATTATCTGACAATAGAAATTTATAAAATATTTGAGAAAATAATTGAACCTTATAATGCACACAAACCTTTAAACGAAACAATTTTGCCTAAACTACCCCTTCCCCACCCATTATTTAACAGACCTAAACCCTCTTATGACTAACATACTTACCACCACCGCCTGCAATATTCTGTCCCCACCCACCCGTATTTTTCCCCAGCAAATACTGTTATCCCATCCTTATTTCCCAACCCACACTTTTTCTAATCAACAGGTTATCACCCTAATCTTTCTTTCTTTCTTTCCCCACCCCGACCCCACCTTTACTTCACTAAAGCCTCTGTAATCCCACCCTTATTCCCCAAACCCCACTTTTTCTTACCAACCCCTTATCACCCTCATCTTTCTTTCCTTATCATCCCACCCCACATTTATTTTACTATAACTCCTGTAAACCCACCTCTCTTTACCACCCCCACCTATATTTTACTAGAACTCCTGTAAAACCACCTCATTCCCCGCCACCCCACTGAAACCCCTGTAATCTCCCCTTAGCAACATTCTCCGCACTCCCCCGCTATGTTCCCTGTGTTAACTCTTCTGCTTTAAAAACCCCTGTACACACTTTGCTATCAGCAGTGTATTTGCTGATCGATTTTCTACCTCTAGATATGATACATTTCATTACACCAATCAGATTTGACTCTTGTTTTATTCAAATGCTTGTAGAAGAATAAATAATTACTTAACAATTAACACACACATTTATATTTAAAGGCTACATTAAAATTACCATTGCTTAGTTTTCTAGTAATTTATCAAAAAAAGTTTTTACTATAAGACCGAAACTCTTAAAAGTAGTAACATTTGATGCCATTTTTTCAGTAATTTGTTTTTCACGTAAACTGATGGCGTATAGTTGTTGTTGTATAAAATCACTGTCTTGATCTTCGCTCAAATATTGATCTCTGTAATCTGATAGTTCTTTCAAAAGTGTTTCAAACGTTTCTTGTACTACAGCTCTGCTTATATCTACATCCATTTTATCCAACATCTCTCGGGTCTGACGTTCCAGCTTTAATCTGTTTTCTCTCCCACAAAGCTCGTTCCTTCCACTTTCAGACTTTACAAAATCATTTTCGCAATATACGTTTGGTAACTTGGACAAAATATCCTTAAAGTGTTCAATAATATAAATCAATTTCGTGTTTTTCACTTCATTGATCTGATGTTTTCTCACTAAAGTATTGTCAACAAGAACAACCCTCTGGTTTATCTCTTCAAACAAAGCCTTGATGTTGCCAGTTTGCTTACCACACCAATCATCAAACGACAACTCCTCTTCCTCCTTATCAAAATTATCTCCACACGTCATGACAACCACACCAAAATCTCTCATCACATTATCACCAAACAAGCACTTCACCATCCGCACTGCGTCCTGTTCCTGTGTGGTAAACCTCACACCAAACTTCAACACCACAACAAACGCATCGATTCTGTTTTCACACGGTTTAAAAACATCGCTGGCGGAGTCCACGATCGTTTCGATTGGATAATTCAAATCTTGCACAGAATCTCCAATACACTCACATTCAACCAGAGTTACTTTTTCCTTGCCCAGTTCTCCTTCATAGACCAAAACATTGTTAGCACCGTTAGACCGTGTGTGTTTTATCTCTGTGTCACCCAGCAAAGTTCTGATCGTGGAAGTTTTGCCGTTTCCAGTCCGTCCTAGTACTACGATGTTCTTCTTGTCACCTGGAGAATAGCATATTTTGGGGGTCATCCATAAATGACGTCACACTCGTAGGGGGGAGGGGGTCCGTAATTTTGTGACGATGTGTGATGAGGGGAGGGGGAGGGGGGGGGGGGGGGGTCAGAAAATGCGACGTCACATTTTTGCATTATAAAAAAGCAATGTTAGAAAACGATTTTTAGACGTTATTTCGCGTTTTAGATAACTGTTTTAATAAATTGTAATAGTTTAGACAAGATTTTAGAAAAATATCGATGTTTTAAAAAAATTCAACTGCAATTTTGAGGGAGGTTGTAGGTTGAGGTGTGACGTCATTTTAGGGGGGGGGGTGGCTTTTTGTGACGACGTGTGACGGAGGGGAGGGGGGGGAGGTAAAAATCGTCAAAAAAAGCTTGACGTCATTTATGGATGACCCCTTAACTAAAAAGGTTCCAAGAAAAATGCGCACGCGGAATTTGCACGACAGAAAACTTCACTAACAGAAAAATGAGCATTACAAATTAATTATACTACTACAATTTTGTCGTATTTCATGAAAAAAAATGTTTTATTAAGCTACAATGTACATGTTTTCATTCTTTGCTAATGTTTATGAATTCTCTATTTTAGTAAACAAAAATGCCCTTGTGTTAAAGAGCTCAAATTTCCATTGCGCAGTTTTCGTTTCGTATTTTCCGGTCACCCCTTTTTTTACATACCTTTAATATGTGGACATTAAAATTACAATTCAATATTTCTAGAATTTTTGACACTTCATACAAAATTACTAGAATGACCAATAAATTTCCTTACTGTTCCCTCTTGAACGGTTGAATGACGTATATAAGGCTGATTTTATAGAATCTTACTAATGCACTTATGAACACAAGCAATGAACATGTTGAAGTGAATTTAAACTAGATCTAGTTATGTACCTATTTATTAAGGCTGGACTGAATCTAAAATGTTGCATTTAATACAGAAACATCAAAATGCAATTTGTCATATATATTGTGTCCTGTTATAATACTAACACATATTTGTCACCGTGACATCTCTTGCTATAATACACACACATGTATTTGTCACTATAACATTTCTCGTTATAACATATATTTGTCACTATAACATTTCTCGTTATAACATATATTTGTCACTATAACATTTCTCGTTATAATTTAATAAAACACATATTTTCCCCTTTGAATCTATCAGCTTACCTAAAGGTCTCTGTCCACTGGCGGCCATTTTGAAATACTTGGTCAATCTTGTTTATCTAACACATCAGTCGTATCTGTTAGATTAGGATATGTACATGTGAAGAGTAGGGGAAATAACTGTTCATATGCACTGGTTAACTTTACCTTTACTTTAAAATGCATTGGTTGAATATCTTTACTTTTCGTAACAGATAATATTTTAATTTTGGAAATTTCTTCAACTCCAATGGTAGAAATGTTATATTTGGTGGATCATTTTAATATTTAAGCTAGTTTTATATGCTACGGTTCAAGATCATTTTGTACAATTGTAACTGAATATTCAGAGGGTCTCTTACTTACTGGGGCAGTCCATTAATAAACACTTCTTCTTCTTCGATCTTAATTTTAGTGTAGAAAGGGATTCCCTCCAACACTATAAAATATACGTGTCAACTTGTTACGCGTCATATAGGCCGTTGACTCCGATTTCAGCCTTCTTTTCTTTTGGGATTTGCTTCCATAGCCTTTGTCCAACCAAGAACAAACTACAAGACAGCAGTTTTTTGTTTTGTTTTGGAGTTGTCTCTCCTAGAAGAGTGGCTGTCCCCAGCTATAGAGCATCATCTGCCCGAGGGTTCGATCTCGAGACTTTTCGGTTTAACAACCATGAACTTTACCGACTCGACCACACCGACCCCAAAACTAATTTTAGGTGAATTTTAGTTTTGAAATTTTATTTTAGGAAGGAGGTTATAAACAATTTGATTTAAATTTAGTCTAATGTTGTAATGCAGTCACCAATCTACACATCAACTCTCATTATATTGTGCATTTTGTTTCGTGTGCCAAAAGTTTGGATTTTTCATTCCTGTTAATTGAATCCTATTTCCAGATACTTAAACCTTATTAATTTTGTTCAACTATTCTAGCTTTATACTTTATTGTATCCACGGTATAAAGAAAATATTCTAACAGTGCTATAAAACTAAAAGAAATTTCAATAGTTTTCGCCGTTTTACACCTCCCTTATAAAGAATGCAATGTAATCGTGAAAGAATCTAAACACGTTACCTTCTACACACGTTACCATCTACACATGTGACCATATACACACGTTATCATCTACACATGTTACCATCTACACATGTTACCATCTACACACGTTACCATCTACACATGTTACCATCTACACATGTTACCATCTACACATGTCACCATCTATTCTACATACAAAAACATCTACATATGTCACCATCTACACATGTTACCATCTACACACGTTACCATCTACATACAAACACATCTACATACCAATATATGATTAATCTACATTAAGTCAAAGTTACACGTACAGTGGAGTGCTGCTTACCCATGACTTAACGTTAACGAAAGGATTAATGGATAGTTGCAGAAAATAAGGCCTTAATGATGCTCTACTCTATAACTGCCAGTTTACTTTTATTTTTTAAAGCCCTACCTTCATATAATTATCCAAATGCATCAGTTTAGGATATGGTCGCTAAACATAAATAATGTTATCGGGTTTTACGTGTGTAGAATTTTTCCAAGGGCCTACACGGCTTATCTCCCTCTACCTAGCCCCACATAGTCTAATGCTGGTTCACATCTCCTACGGTGAAGTCATTAAACGTTTTATCGAGGTTTCGCTTTTTACGCCATTTTAAACTATTTATAGTATATACACAATTCTGAAATCATCTAGTTTTTCCAATTGTGTTAATAGGACTTGGACAAAACAAATATGTCTTAACAAATTATATTTTAAAATTGATTTTAATATTTTTTTAATTAGTTAAAAAATTTTAAAATGGTTCTTTGATATATGAGTAGATAGACATCTATAAAGTACATTTTCCCTTTAAGTTATTTCAGGGGGGGAGGAGGTGCGTTCTTTAAAGCTGGCATATATTTGAATTTTCTCTGCCCACAGCTACACAATGAAAGGTGAATACGGGAATTTGTTTTTCAAAGTGAGGTGTAGTAACATAATTAAACACAAAGTTATGTGTAGTAACATAATTAAATAAACAGCTAGCTGGGATTAGAAGGCAATAAATAGACCATCCAATTTAAACAATTTACTTGCAGGTTCTAGTCTGATGTTCTTGGTTCACGAAATGACGCCATGAATACACACAAGTGGCGTAGGCAAGGGGGGGGGGTAATAACACTTCACATGGACTCACACCCTTATATATATATATATAATAATATATATATATATATATATATATATATATATATATATATATATATATATGACTTTGTACATATGGAGAAATATTTGAACCCCTCCCATGACCAATTCCTGGCTACGCCACTGAAACAAAAGATTTCTGATATTTCATGAGCACACATCTGCCCAAGTTTATGAGGAGTCAAAAATATTTCAATCTCAATGATTTTCAATACATCGTTAGGCTGAAGACAGCTGTTACTTGAAAATGTTGGTTTTCCATTTTCTTGGAAAAAATATCATGACGTAATGGTACATTCTTCATGAGTGTGAAAATAGAGAACGGTACATTAACCTTGGAAAAAAATCTTGAAAATCACATTGAGAACCCTGATTACCATGATCATGTTTTTGGAAGGCTAGGTGTGCCGTCATTTTAGGAGGTTGGGGTTCTAGTTTTTGGTGACGATGTGTGACGGAGAGGAGGTAAAGATCGTCAAAGAAAAAGCGGGTCGGCGTGGTCGAGTCGGTAAAGCTCATGGTTGCTAAACCGAAAACTCTCGAGTTCGAACCCTCGGGCAGATGAGGCTCGTTAGCTGGGGACAGCCACTCTTCTAGGAGAGACAACTCCAAAATTAAACAACTGCTGCCTTGTAGTTTGTTCTTGGTTGGACAAAGGCTATGGAAGCAAATCCAAAAAGAAAAGCAGGCTGAAATCGGAGTCAATGGCCTCAATGGCGCATAACCAGTTGACACGTAACGCTTAATTGTGTTGGAAGAGTGGTCGAGTCGGCAAACAGCTCATGGTTGAACAAAAGTCTCGAGTTCAAACCCACTGGCAGATAAATCTCGATCCCCTCCAACACTAATAATTAAGAACGAAGAAGAAGAAGAAGAAAAGAAAAAGCATGGTGACACCTTAATTATATTTTTTAAATTTACTTTCTTTTTGATCTGGGTGGAGCGTAGAAATGCCATCTATCCTACGAAGTATGGGCCATTAACTGCAGTTCTACATTGATCTGTTACTGCCTAGCCCAGCTGATTCCATATACAGCCTTCTTGTGATTCGCACTTTACACCAGAAACATTTTTTGACTTCCTCATTCTCGACTACCTTGAGGGTCCCATTCAGATCCTGCCTGAAGTTACTAGAAGATTTACACAGCGTCTGATCCAACAATCCAATCTTCGCATTTTTTGCTCAACCAAAAGTTGGAAGTTTGATCGGCTCCCTTCTGTAACTTTTTAAAAAATTTGCTACAAATAAACACAGAAAACTAAAATCTCACGCTAGTACAAATTGTTTATTCATCAACTTGCTTTTAACCCAACAAAAATAATCAACATGAGGGTGTTGAAAGATGATTAGGTATATTGTACTGTTAAAAATGTGAACACTTGCATTCTATAACGACAGTGTACTTGTATCATTCTACCAATCCCTATTGTATTCTGTAAAATATTTATTATGATAACAGTTGTAAAGTTTAAATCATTTGTTTTGTAAATAAAGAAATAGAAACATGAAAGTATATTTTTTTACAATCTCATTGTAATACACTATAGAGCTAAACTAACACCAAATATAATTTACAAACAACACATGCAGGGTTTTCGTTATCAATATAATGTAAGCTACTGTGAGCTGAGGTGACCTAATGGGATCTATGTGAGCTGAGGTGACCTACTGTGATCTATGTGAGCTGAGGTGACCTACTGTGATCTATGTGAGCTGAGGTGACCTAATGTGATCTATGTGAGCTGAGGTGACCTACTGTGATCTATGTGAGCTGAGGTGACCTACTGTGATCTATGTGAGCTGAGGTGACCTACTGTGATCTATGTGAGCTGAGGTGACCTAATGTGATCTATGTGAGCTGAGGTGACCTAATGTGATCTATGTGAGCTGGTGTGACCTACTGTAACCTAAGGTGACCTAATGGGATCTATGTGAGCTGAGGTGACCTACTGGGATCTATATGAGCTGAGGTGACCTATTTGCCTCTATTATGTGAGCTGAGGTGACCTATTTGCCTCTATTATGTGAGCTGAGGTAACCTATTTGCCTCTATTATGTGATAGCTCCAGATTAGTCTAGCTAGACGAAGAATCAAATATTCAGGCAAAGAAAGGAAAAATATAAAAATCTGTAGATTTAAAGTAGTATGAGCAAACAGAGGCAGCAACCCAGCCATAGATGAAACAAGCTGTTTTACTGGTGGCTAGAGATAGCAAGTAGTACAACCATGAATTTTGACTCAGTTTTTTCTTTAGTTTTTTCACTATCTGTAGTTTATATTCTTGAGAAGCTAATCCTAACTCTCTGATTTTATCTTCCACTTTTTCTAAAGCATTCAAAGCTTGTTTAACTTCAATGTCATCCATTCCTCTCTTGAAATTTTCTTCAATGGTTTCAATTTCAAAGTCAAATTTTGGAGCATTGGTATACATTACCAGATACTTGTTTAAAATTGTCCTCATATTCTCCAGATCTAGCAGCCTCAAATCTTCAGGGCTTGTGATTCTTTTTGTAACAACTTCTATCTGTTCCAAATTTGTATTTTTAACTTCAAAAGCCAATTTATCTAACTTTAGAGGCATATTATTAACTTCAAAATCCAAATTTTGGATCATGAAAGATATGACTAGTTCATTTCTCACATGTTTGGCGTCAATAAAATCTGACTCAGTATAAGGCACTTTAATCTGTTTTACAAAATTCATTAACACATTTACTTGATTGCTTTTCTTGTGAGCATCTTTTGTCCTGTTATCAAACAAAACAATGCGGTATTTGCAATCTTCAAACAGTTTTTTTATGTCCCCTGACTGCTCCATGCTCCAAGTTTTAAAAGCTGTCTCAACACCATCACCAATGGGAGTAAAATTATCCCCATAGGTCATGACAACGACACCACACTTTTTGAACACATCCTCCCCAAAAAATGATTTAATGATCTCCACTGCATCTTTCTCCTGTTTGGTGAACCTGACGCCATACTTCAAGACAACAACGATGGCTGAATAAAACTTTACTGATTCAAAAGTCTGGCTAATTTGTTGTTCTAGGTCCAGCATGTTCCCTGTGAAGTCAGCGACATTGTCCCCCAGTCCAGACACTTTGACAACAGTTAGCTTCACATTATCTGGAGTCTCCACTGTCTCGACATGGGTTAGTACTGTCAATGCATCGCAAGAGTCAACCTCAAATGAACTGTTACCAAGAATTGAATTGCCTGTTGAGCTCTTGCCATTTCCAGTTCTACCAACTAACAATATATTGACTTCCTTGCTTGACATTCTCCTGAGTGGGGAAAATTCAAAATTGATTGTTATATATATGTAATGTCTACTCATAAAATAGGAGTAACATGAGAATTACTGATAACAATAATGCTTCACCAATTAAAGTAGCCTGCCAAACTTGATGGTCCATGGAGCAAGTGAATTAGAGTTCACCTATTTAAGTGCCCTCTACATATGAAAGGATAGTATGGTCAGCACCATGCCCAGCCACCTTTACTTTCCTAAGGTGAGTCATGTACCCATCAGGGCTGGGTGGACTCAGGGACGTTCTATGAACTAACTAACTAGTAGAAAAACAAAAACAAGAGCAGTACAGTCTAATTAGTACAGTACTAATTGCTAGAGACCAGTAAAAGTGGAAATAGCTTTCTGTGGCAACCCCATGTGTCCTCTGCACAAAAGGAAAAAGATGCTGAAAACAATATGTATTAGTTTATATAGTAATTACAACCTCATTTTTTACTCACCACAAATAACCATGTATTGTGACACACCAATAGCACCAAAAACATTGTAACTATAGGCTTACCATGAAATATTCAATTAAATATTTTGAATTGTGTAGGCACTCTCTGCCTTCTGCTGCCGTGCAGGCAACTTTCACGAGATTATTTTGAATTTTTGATGAATATTTTTTAACAATCCTCGATGTACTGAGGCCGTGGTGTTACTCACCTTCATAAGTTTGTCCTACAACCTGAATTCGCTCAACCTGTTGAAGTATGACGTGCCAAAACCAGACTTGTTATAATCTGCAAATACTGCAGAAGAAAACTTTTTTTAATGAAATGCCACACAATCTATAAACAACTACCCGTTACACAAGAATTATAGGCCATATCTTTTTAATGTTATTCATGTTTGAGAAAAATATTTTATAAAATAGTTATTGGTCAAAACGCAATGTGCTTTACTACACGTTGAACAATATTAGTGACAAAGCAAAGAAATAACTAAATAGCTAAAAATCTGACACATTTAAAATAATAGGCTACCAACACCTATTAGAAAAATTAAAACCAAATTATATACATTATTAGTTGACAGAACACCATATAAATTACACACACTGATTAAGAGACTTAAATGATTCTATTAAAAACCCAACTATTCATTGGTCATTATGTTTATTAAAGTAATTTGTATTAGTTTGACCGAGAAAATTGTATACATTTCATAGCGTACATCTTGATATGTACATTTATAGAAACCAGATCTTAATCAAATCTTTATAATCTAAAAATGGAAGATGACACCATTAGTGTTGTGTTCTTTTGTGGTTTAAACATGCAGCATGTGATGTCATTATATATTGCGTTCTCATCATAAACATAAACACTTTTCCAGTTGACTAATTAAAAATGTGTTTCTACATGCCTTTACTTTTATTTTTCTTCTTTAAATTAAATTTAGTTTATACATTTAAAACATCAAACATATTATTTTCAACAAAAGTCTGTATCAAGTTATCCAAATATAGCTCAAGATACTGATATCATAGCCTCTGAAAATATTTTGCGGACAGAAAGAGTGAGAGAGAGAGAGAAGTGTGCACATGGGCTTTTGTATATTAGGATTATAAATCATTAAATCAATGAAACACAGCTCAGTCTGTCAATAAAATGACCTCTTTGAAAGATCACTTTATAGAAAGTAGAACTATATTTTATATAGTCATCTGGGGGTGGGGGGGGGGGGGGGGGGGGGGGAAGATAGTTCAATGACTGATGAGGGGGCTCAGAAAGTGTGACAGGATGAATTTGCCTTTTTAACCCATTCAGGACCACAAAGATTTCAAATATCTATGCATACATTTAATGTAAAATGACAAGTAGATTTTTAAAATGTTAACATTTTTCCAATATCTTTGATAGTTTTTGAGATACTGCAAGGTCCGGAAGGGAAAATTATCCAAAATAGGTTGAGTTGTGAGTTATAGTATATCAATATGTTTATTCCAAAATTGATTGAACGTCTGTTTGATGTTCTAGTACATTAAAAATTGAAAATATCAGTAATGAGAACATATTTATGTCCTTTATAAGTGTATGAATGAAACTTTTGGAAACAGTTACAGGATGTTATGTAACATACGCAAACATGGCAGACATCACACATATTGTCCATTCTGTTCTCAATTATTTCTCTGCGTTTTTCTTCTTTTGAGTTATCAACTTGTGTACAGATTGTGGGTTGAAGTGAACTTCTTGCCTCTACAACCAGGTCTTGAAGTGATTTCTTTCATTTAATCCATAAATGAGAGCTCTCGCTAACATTCGCCTATATTCAAACTTGGTTTTGCATTGTAGCCAGGACTGAATTCTTGTCACGTGTTCGTATAAATGCCTTTTTGACACATTATCAATGTATGAAACATGGAGATCAGGTTCAGTGTACCAGTAGTTGAAAAATGTACAGATTGCTTGCAAATGAGTTTGGTAAAGGAATCCCAAGCACTCAAAATAAGAAGGGTATTCTATGATGCGGGTTCCAGTCAGTGAAACATCCCTAACTCAAGTAACGTGAAGTTAGAGATGATAAAGCCAGCTGGGCATGGTTATAGTGCTGATCACATCATCCCTCCATATTCCATATGCAGAGGTCAAGATACATCCAGTCATATGAACTGCATCTGCCCAATGGATTGCTAGATCTGAACAGGAATCTTTATTTTTTTTATTTTTTTTAAGTAGATCTAGATCTAGAACTAGATCTAGCTGATTCTAGCAGCTAGCTACTGCTAGAGATCTTCTTCAAACTTCTTGGCCTAAATTTATTAAGTTATGGTATAGGCCTAAAAATGTTAATTAGGGTAATCTATCACTTTAGGTGCGTAAAATCGGCCGCGGCTAGTAATGTATGAAAACATTACCTCATTGTCAAGGCTTTAATAGAAGTATATTGTGAAATATTTGTGTCAAATATTAGGCCTATAGATAACTGAATAAGAAACCAAAATCAATGGCTAAAAATATCAATATAGGCCAGAAATTTTAAACAGCAGTGTTTGCGAGCAAGATTTGCTATATTAGTATGTAAACAGCCATTTGTAAATGAATCACCCGCTATACGTTTAACAAAATAAAAAAAACAAGATGGCGGTAAAACTCCAATTTAGCGTATTTTATTTCTCCGCTGCTTGTTTACCTCCAGTTGAGCGTATTTTATTATAACAACCGAAACACACCAAAACATTAGGAAAACACGATTCATTTATTTGTATTGTATTTTTGTTTTAACAAATTAATAGAAATGAATAAAAAAACAAAGAGACTGACTTTGTTTTAGATTTTGATAATTTAGTTTTGTTAAAACTTGAGAAAAATCAAAATTGAGAATATTGAATGTGCAATGTTCGTGTGTCAGAATTTTCATGGCAATGGGTGAGAAGTACGTAAACGTAACTCACAATTGCAAGGCGGTTAAGTTTGTATTGTTACAAGTATCTCCCAGGCATGATACTATAAATAAACATTAATGAACTTACAATGACCCCAAAACTGAGGCCAACACAATTTCAAACAGCTATTGCACGAGCTATGACGTATGCTGGTAATTAAAGTCAATGTGAACTCACAGTGAACCCGCGACCATGTAAGGATTTTTCTCCCGCTGACGATCACACGATATTTAATAATTTTTAATTGGAACAGTTCTAATGCTTTTTTATGTTTTTTTACCTTTTCTAATAAAAAAAAATTGCATTCATAAAAAAAAAATAAGTAGATCGGTGTTTTCCTAACGTTTTTGTGTGTTTTGGTTGTGTTTATAATAAAATACGCTGAACTGGAGGTGAACGTCAAGCGGGGAATAAAATACGCTAAAATGGAGTTTTACCCAAGATGGCTACTATAGTACACTATAGTCTATAGTAAATGAGCATGGTCATGGTTGCATCTGATGAAAACATCGCTAGTCTTCATTTATTACTGAAAAGTTTTAATTCAATTGTTTAAAAATAGGTACACAAATGAAACAAGGACACATTTTTGTATTTTTCAAAACATTAATTCTCATCAAAATGTGAAATAATTATTAAATTTATGGAGTCACCTGTTTTTCACATTACTAGTCGCTGGCTATTTTACGTACCTAAAACGATAGATTTAAAATTAGGATTAGGCCTACCTGATCGTTTGTAGTTTAAAAATTCGAAAGATAGAAAGAGTCATGGACTAGTCTAGATCTAAATCTAGATACATCTAGAAGTCTAGATACATCTAAAAAGACTTTTAGAAGGCACTCAAACTAAGTGAGTAGTAAGAAGGGCTTTAAGGTCCAGTAAATCTACATTTATCTTCACTATGTACTGACAGTGACAGTTCGTAGAATAATTTCCTCGGAAATTTTCTATTACAAAAGTAGGTCATCTATTTTTAGAATAGACTCAATTTACACATTTGTTTTATTATATTTATATCTTTGTATATCTTTGATGCTATTGTAAAGCGGTTTCTTTATGCAGCAAAAGGCTAAAACTAAGAAAATTATTTAGATCTAGATCTATAGTAGCATAGAGTATATTAGTATAAACTTTACAAATCCTTGATCTAGACTTCTAGTGTTATTTTATTGTGCATCTTTTTAAATTTTATGTTTGGGGGTAGTCCATAAATGACGTCACACACGTAGGGGGAGGGGGGTTCGTAATTTTGTGACGATGTGTGGTGAGGGGTGGGAGTGGGAATTCAGGTGGTGTGACGTCGCACTTTTGCATTATAAAAAGCTATGTTAGAAAACGAATTTTAATTTTAGCCGTTATTTCGCGTTTTAGAAAACTATTTTTAAAAAATTTTGTAATATGAATTGATGAGTCTTTGTTGACAGAGTTCAGTCAAGATTTTGGAAAAATATAGTTGTATTAAGAAAAATTCAACTGCAACTTTGAGGGGCGTCATAGGCTTTTTGTGACTTCATTTTTTTTTTGGGGGGGGGGGGGGGGTCTAGTTTTTGTGACGATTTGTGACAGAGGGGAGGGAGATCGTCAAAAAAGGCGTGACATTTATGGATGACCCCTTAGTCCAAGATCTAAATACTAACTTTGAACCACAGGATTTAAGGACCTAGACACTGCTACACCTAGATTCTAGATCTGTTTGTTTGCCTGTAGAGCTGAAAGCTGCAAACAGCATCTATTGTTATTAGACCTTTTTTTTTTCCTTCTTTTGGCCCGATGTAATACATACAAGGGCTAAAGTTTATGGTTACATTTTTTAAATAGGGTCTAATCTGTAGGCCACTAGTCTATATTGGAATAGTATAGCTATCATTTAGTCTGCCTTTACACCCCCTTACCCCGGGAGATAAAATCTGAAAGAAACACTGCATAGGTAATGTCATTGTAAGCATCCAGAAGACAAAAGTCAGTTATCAGGTCATATTAAAACAACACACACTTCAGCTTATCAACGTGTAGCATTAGAGCACATGAAATAGATTCAGCCTTGATAAAATTTTAGACAAACTGATATACCGATAATAAACTCAAAAGAAACGAAAAACAAGTTAGTTTTGATGAATATGATATGTAATATTTAAGTAGGCCTGCCATAAATAATATAAATGTGTACAAATTATGAAAGCACAGTTAATAAAAATCAGTTAATGACTTGTATTTTCTTGACTTTCAAAATCCAGATTCTCTTTCAGTGTTGTCAATTTTCTTGGCTTGATAATTCATAGTCAATTCTTCGCACTTCAATGTCAGTCAGTATTTACTATTAAGCTCCACTAACTCCAATGGATTAATATTTTTATGCACATCTCATAGTCAGCATTCTCTTTCAGTCCTATCAGTTCCCCTGACTTTTAAAAGCCAGTTTGTGCACAGCTCATAGTCAGCATTCTCTTTCAGTCCTATCAATTCCCCTGACTTTTAAAAGCCAGTTTGTGCACAGCTCATAGTCAGCATTCTCTTTCAGTCCTATCAATTCCCCTGACTTTTAAAAGCCAGTTTGTGCACAGCTCATAGTCAGGATTCTCCCTGAGCCTAACTGTTCTACCACAAAGTTTTTCTCTTAGCTCAACATATTGTTCTTTGGCTGCAATCAAAATATTTTCTCTACTCCATTGCTGAAATTAAAACAAACAGGTTCATTCACTTTACATTATACATCAATTTCCCAAAATATTATACTGATAATCTAAATTAGTAGTAGGCTACAATTTACTCTATATTTTCCACACTATGTATTAGGACCACAAAATGATTTAAATTTAATTTTTTATATTTACTGAGAGTTATTTTTTAGACAATAATTGAAGAGAAAAATGTTGTACACACTCCTTCATCTTGAGTCCTGACGTTCATAATAAATTCTCTGGTATCCCCTTCTAGCCTGACAGGGGGTACCTGGCCAGTCATCATGTACTGAAGACTGTGTAACTTGTGAAAAATCTGGCAATTACAACAATATATTTAAATTATGTTTTTCAAATATGTTTAGAGTGGTTTTCAGCAACAGTTTGAAGTCGGGGTATATGAAAATAAAATTGTTAGTAATGTAGCAGCAATGCACACCCAAATATCAGGTTAGAACTAAAGGGCAAAAAAAAATTGTTGTATTTAGATAAACTGCATAATGTTAGTCCTAGAGCACACTCAATAAATAAAGGAAAATGTTGATACATGATAAATGCCTATACAAAAAATGCCATTACCTGGTAAAAGAGTTTTCTGTCCCGGCTAGGGGACCCAGAATGTTTCCTTCTCTCTATCAACTTGAAGTTGTTTTTAACCAGCCCCAAATACTGCAGTATGGCTTTCTCTGTCACAAAACAGGATTTGTGCTGCGCTAGTTCCTAAAGTAACACGACACAATTTATTTTTTTTTAAAACCAGTTCAATACAAACATGAGAATATTTATGAAAAGTAAAGATAATGATGCAGAAAATATTGAAAGCCAATACTAAAAATTGATGAGGATGGAGTTAACGACTGCTAACTCGTAAGTCTCAAGTTGGGATCTCAGTCTCTAGTCTGTATAATGTCCCTGAGTTCACCAAGCTAAGATTGGCATCTGAATCAACTGAGGCAGGTGAACATAGTGCTGACCACAGCCGACGTCATTGAAAGAGATGAACTCTTCTTCATCTTCCCATGTGTTCATAGATAATTTTATTATGTTATTCTGTTTTAAAAATTTATTTTATTTTAAAGATAAAAAACTTACCTCCCACATTGGACTTGTGTATTTGTGTCCAGTTGAAAACAGTAACTAATATGAAGAGAAACAGTTATATGATTACATATAGGCTTACACATATAAAAGCACATTTTTTTCAACAACAGATGTTAAAAAGATTTTCTTATAAAATTCAATAACTAGTTATTTAACATACACTTACAATAACAAACTATTAATGTAAACACTTAAGCTTAAATTTATATCTTTAATATGAGATGTCTTGTTTTATTACACATATATACCTAGTCTATACCTCTAATATCACCACACTGCATTTTAAAACCATTTCGCAGAACGTCCTGACTTCATAAGCGCCATATTCTATTGTTTTGTCGACCCCACGACTTTCATGTGTCTCAGCTAATTTCTTGGTGGCTGACAACAGCAGCTGTAGAAAAACACAATGAGCAGGTAATAGAATCTCTAGACACACAAACTAATTAATGCCCTTGTATTAAGATACCATTCAATGGTTTTAATAAATTTATGACAGTCATAAGTAATAAACTAAAACAAAAAAAAATCATAGGCAGATGAGGCCCTATAGCTGGGGACAGCCTCTCATCTAGGAGAGACAACTCCAAAATCAAAACAAAAAACTTGTAGTTTGATCTTGGTTGGACACAGGCTATGGAAGCAAATCCAAAAAGAAAAGTAGGCTGAAATTGGAGGCGACAGCCTATAAAGCGCATAACATGTTGATACATGTAATACTTAATTGTGTTGTAGGGAATCTCTTCCAATACTAGAATTAAGAACGAAGAAGAAGAAAACAAAAAAATTTTCAAAATAGATGAAGGAACCTAAAGACAAGCCCATGTATTTTAGAGAAAGTTACTGTATATTTTAATTGCTATTTACTGGGCTATCATATTCAACATTTTTTAATATTTACAAGGAATAAACCCAACACCACAATAGCTCTAAAACAATTATAATATCATTAAACATAACACTTAACATTTTAAATAAACATTTTCTTGGAGTACTTCGGATGTAAAAAAAACCCACATCTTTATCTGCGTGAAAAAATAACTGCTGCAAAACAAGAATTAAAAAGTCGAATTGATTTAAAGGATGGAATAATAGAATCAGGACAGTATTTCCACGACTCTACCCTATAATTGATTTGCTTTTCTTATTAAAGTACACTCTGCACATTTCTAGCTTGCTTTGTCCATGGGTATCCACTTTTTCCTTAACTACAGTTTTAACCTTATTGCTATCTATAAGAAACTGCTAAGGCTAAGAAGAAAATGAAAGTAAAGAAAGTGGACTTCTATGTCTTTCCCAAGTTCAGCACAAGCAGTACTTTGAAAATTTTGGCTTTTCCAAATTTATTTCATACGTGTAACTTTATCTGTAAGTGTTTAGTTTATTTTTTGCAATAAACACTTTAAAACAGACACCAGAAGACTCATAACAATAGCCAGAATAGATGTTGACCATTGATGTTAAAAAGATCCTGTTAGCAAGGTATTGTACGCAGCTAAATAATCAACAGTAGAGTTTGGCGTACTAAGGTTGTACAGTTTAACTCACCTCAGTTGGGTGAGAGTACACAATTAGGTAATCCACATCAGATGTTGGCGTACTAAGGTTCTACACAATTTAACTCACCTCAGTTGGGTGAGCGTACACAACCAAGTAATCCACATCAGAGGTTGGCGTACTCAGGTTGTACATTGCGCTCCCAGCCACAGCCACCAACAAGATTTGTTCCGGCCTCATCCTGGCCACAGGTCCGCCCACTTCCTTCATTAGCTGTACAAGACTGCTGTGACTGTCACTCAATGCTAGCCAATAAATAAACTCTGGGTGTAAATATTAAATGAACAAATTTATCTAAAAATATTATAATTTTTGTATTAAATACTAAAATTGATAAAAATATTAAAAAGCAATGTATTTTAAGGACATGGGCCGGTTATGACTCAAAGAGTTAAGTCTAATTATAAAAATAAATGGCTGAAAATTTTATGCCATTGCCATGGTGACCGTCTTGGGTTTTATTTAGAAATAAGCATTTTGGTTACTTAGGTTTTTATCACCTGCCCATGCCCTTAAAACTGAAATTAACTAGAATGAAATTTTCGTTGTCTATTGAATACTCAAATTTTTATTGACCAAATTTTACTATAGGCAAACTAAGACAAAAATTTTCTTTTTCAAAAATTTTACCTGGTAATGGCATAAGTTTTCTCCCCTGTAATCTAGTCCTCATGAGCCATTCACCTATGACCTTTTCTAGTTCTGTCTCCTGGTTTTTCTCTGCAACACTTTTCTTCACAGTTATTGACTTCTGTAACACAAGATGGAAACAAAATAGTTACTACAAATTATGTAATCAGCTTTACTGAAGAAATAGTAACATTGTTACATTTATTTACACAATTTCATCTAACACTCAAATAGTTCTAAATGTTGATTTTTTTTTTACCTTAATTTCATCAGCCCAATTCATAAGTAGATCAAAAAGTTCATATTTAAATTTGACAGGTTCTTCATGTTCATAGAATAACTTGATTTTCTCCTTAGCTTGGCTAGAGAAGTGAGATAAGCCATCTTTTTCTTCAGTGGAAGTGGCCAAATTCAAGGCATTTTCTGCATGCTCTAATAACCTGGGATCATAAAAAATGTGTATTGTTGTTTGTTAATCATCCTGTTTTCTGTTAAATTAACTTTTAAAGGTGAATAAAATTTGGATATAACAACAAAAAAGTGTTTATACAGGTGATATTTAAAAAATAAAAAACCTGAATGATTCACAAAGCTCAAATAGTGTAGCACCTTCCCTCAGTTTAAACACCCCATTTTTTTTCTTCTTCCCCACCCCTCCAAGAGCTTGACCAACTGACGCCATCAAAAAACTGTGAGTGCCTAATTGATAAACAATGAAAACTGGGCACTTAAGAAAACAAACAAAACATGCTTTCCAAAAGCTTAAATCTTGCCAAACCAAGTATTATATTCCATAAATATAAAAAAAAAACACACTATTTTCACCTACTTATAAAATTTCTATAGGTCAAGTTCTGACGTAATTCCTTCCAACAACTTGTTTCCCAGATGAGTGCTCCATCTCGGCTATGTACTGTCTCTAAATATCTTGTGCGTCCTTTAGCTAGAGCATGACCAAAGTGGGACAACTCTACAGCACACAACCAGCCCTACATCAAGAGCACATACATCTATAATCAACTGTATATGTACTACTTACATACATCTATAGTCAATTGTATAGGCCCTACTTACATAAATCTTTAGCATTTACATAATTATATTACATAAATATTAATTCCATATATCTTAGATACAGAATTATGTGCTTTGTAGTCAGTGGCGTAGCGAGGTCGGGTGTCACCCAGTGCGGCACTTAATGGTGTCACCCCCCCAGAGGCATAGAGACCCTTCCCAGGGACAAACTTTCAAATTTTCGATTTGCACCCCCCCTCAAACTTTCGATTTGCACCCCCCCCTCAAGTTTTCGATTTGCACCCCCCCCCCCCTCAAACTTTCGATTTGCACCCCCCCTCGAGTTTTTCTCTATATATTTTGCTATTTTTTGCCATGGTGTCACCCCCCTAAATGGTGTCACCCGGTGCGGTCCGCACCCCCCGCCCCCCCCCTTGCTACGCCCCTGTTTGTAGTTCTTCATAACAAACAAATTGACAAATTCTTTATATTCCTAACATTTAACTAAATAAAATCTGAATTAGACAACTTACAAGGTCAAGGATACAAGCCTGCTCCCTTATTTGGGGATTGACTGGAGAAAAAAACTGCTCATCCAGAGAAGAGAAGACAACCAGGAGAATGTTGTGTTTGGCCTGCTCTCCCCTTTCTCTCTGTGAGATCTCATACCAGGGGCATGTCAGTAGTGTGATGGAAACTAATGACTTACACTCATCTAAAGATGGACATACACATGTCAGTAGTGTGATGGAAACAACTGACTTACATTCATCTAAAGATGGACATACACATGTCAGTAGTGTGATGGAAACTACTAACTTACACTCATCTAAAGATGGACATACACATGTCAGTAATGTGATGGAAACTACTGACTTACACTCATCTAAAGATGGACATACACATGTCAGTAATGTGATGAAAACTACTGACTTACACTCATCTAAAGATGGACATACACATGTCAGTAATGTGATGAAAACTACTGACTTACACCCATCTAAAGATGGACATACACAAGTCAGTAATGTGATGGAAACTACTGACTTGCACTCATCTAAAGATGGACATACACACATCAATAAAATACTACCTTTAATAATTTACAGCAATTAGATCTACATGATATACCAAATTATGAAAAATACATAATTAATTTTAAAATGCAAGCCTATTATCAATCTATAAATAGATATTTAAAAAAAAACACTTCAAAATACTGATACAGAGTAATTGTGTCATGGAAAAAAAAACTGAACCAAAATTTAAGTAGGCCCACAACTGCCAAGTGGTAAAAAATTATTTCTTTTCAAATATTTAAATGCGGTTTATATAAAATGCAGAAGTATCAAAAATAGTGTTTCTAGACTGAAATTAGTCTCTAAAAGCTCAGCCAAAATGTATAACAGGAGAATAAAAAATACCTTACTGTCTAATGCTTGGTCCACTAGAATTTTAAATTTGTCGCGTACATCATCAGTTAATGATGAAGGTATGTGCATTAAGGTTAATTGCTTAAGCTCAACCAAACCATGCTCATTAAGCTTAGGTAGTTTAAAATCTAGGTCACTGCCCTCTAGAGTTGCTTTTTGTTCCCTCAGAGTATTTAGACAATCATGAATTTTATTTTTCACTGAAAAATAATAAAAACAGGATTTAAGAATAAAATTGTTAATACTCTAAACCAAAAAAATATAAAGACAAAAAAAAACTGATAGGCCTTCTATTAACCTACTATTTTATTTAGGCCTATAAAAAGTATAACAAACTATTAAGTCAATTTTGCAAGTTTATTAAATTATATTTTTCTAGATCTACTTTTCTAGAAAGTGGGATAATTTAAGTTATTATTTTATTTCAGAACTTAGAACTGTAGACTAGAATTTCTATTTCTTTATAGATTCTACTTTATGACCATAAAGTTTTAATTTATTCACTTACACGAAGTGCAGCTATTCACATCAGTTTGTCCAACCTTCCAGCTTAAAGTTTCCTGAGCCTGAAGAGCAGCTGTTGCTTGACTTAACAGCTCTGATGAGGGCATTCTTTATCTATAGTATAAGACATAGGAAATATGCCAGAATAGTTTTGAGGTGAAAAAATATTTGAACTTAGTTAAGTATATTATATGAGAGCAAAACTCATTTTGAGAGGTGAGAGACTGTAGGAGATCCGACGGAGTAGTGACTGAGTACTGAGTAGTAGTGACTATAGTATATATAGTATACTTGACTATACTATTTAGTATTTATTAGTATTAGCTATTACTTAGTAAATAATAATAGTATTAGACATTAGAGATAAACGATCTAGATCCTAGCCTAGACATAGTCTAGATTTTACACAAAATCTACCTTTATTTTAATTTTCTTTCTTTGACAATGAACAATCACAATGAATCAATTCAACACCGACCATCCACTCATTCATTGTTATTTGTTATTGTGGTTCATCATACACATTACACATTTTACATGCCATCGTCATTGACACAACAAATGTCTAGTCAGTCTAGTCTAGTCTCTAGATCTAGTCTAGATTTTATTTTTTAGTTTAAAATAGTAAAATGTATGTAGAGATCTATTTGCAATGTATCCAACTTGCAAGAACGATGCAATAACATTTTAAAACAAGCTGGGCCCTTCTCTGGATGACTAAGATATCTAAATGTAGAATCTAGATTTAGGTCTAGATCACTAGTCTTTGTTTACTAGGTTACACCCATATACGCTGCGCAGGGGACACTACTCTGAAAATATTTTCCCACTTAAAGCAACACAAATTTGGGTCCACTTAGGCTGAGGTACAAAATTGTAAACAAAATCATAATCATATTATAAAAGTTTATAGCTTGCACACCTCCACTCTAACATAATAAAGTTTTACTAGTTTAATATTCTTGCTGAACAGTAGAACAGTTCAAACTATAAATATCTAAACCCAAATAGTTGGAAACGCATGAGTTTCCATAATACCCCCCCCCACACACACACATTAAAAGTAAAGTGTAAGGTTCCCTTTTCAAACATGACGGTTTATAGGGCAAGTGAAGTAGAGTTCACTTGTGACCTCGGCATATGAAGAGATAGTGTTGTCAGCATTATGCCGCCTTTACTTTCCTTAACGTGAGTTGGGTACCCATCAGAGCTGGGTGGACTCAGTCTACTGATTTGAGCCCGGATTCGGACTCGAGACTTACGGGTAAGCAGTCCAGCTCTCTACCGCTAGACCACTCCGTACCCCCCCCCCCCCCCACATAGTAGCCTAATTAGTAAAAATTAGTAAAAATTAACCCTTCAAACGAAATAGAGGAGGAAGGGGGTGGGTTGAGGCCTACCTTCCAAAATGAAAGTCCACCCCCCCCCCCCCTTGATAAGTAATAGATGAAGTGCGCTCGTGTCACTTTATGTTTATAATTTCAACATTTTGAATGTCGTAGAAAAAAACAACTTAAACTTGATTATAACCAGACATTGGCAGTGGCGGAACTAGAAAAAATGGGCCACCCCGCAAAAATTTTTTTTGGGCCCCCCATATATGTGTATATATATATATATATATATATATATATATATATATATATATATATATATATATATATATATATATATATATATATATATATATATATATATATATATATAAACACACAATACGAACATAGGATACTCATTTCTAACCTGATCGGCTTTTGAAAAAAAAATTCAATTAAATCTAATCACAACAACATGTCATGTGTATCAGTGGCGGAACTAGAAAAAAAGCCCCCCACCCCGAAGAATTTTTTCGGGCCCCTATATATATATATATATATATATATATATATATATATATATATATATATATATATATATAAAACAAGGTTCGCTCTCAATTTTAAAAAAAATTCCATCTGGTACACGAATAAATCAGATGTTTTCCAACACACGAGCTGGCCCCTTTCTAAATCTAGTCCAACACACTAAACTGAGGCTTTCATCAAAACGTTACTAACCGTGTGCCCTGTTTTCCAGAAGTTGAATTATATGTTAACAATGTCGGCAGTTCATTTCTTGGATCTTAGGGCGCGGGTTTGTCCACACTACCAACTAGACACGCCAAGGCATGCTGTAAATCCCTCGGCGACGGCCCAGGTGTCAGGGGAGTCACGGGGCTCTTGGAGCTACCGGTTACATTACTGCACGGGTGATGGGTGTGACACATTGTTTTTTCCGGCAGAGCTCCCCCCCTCCCCTCCCCCGAAAACAGTCTACCCTGGAAGAAACATTGGTGCGACACCTAATTAGATTTAGTCATCGAGTGTAGTAGCGAGATTTATTCCTAGTGTTGTGGGAACTTTTAAACGACTGTCTGTGGGGGCCAACTTGCTCATATGTGATGTGCTCAGCATGACACTGACGCCAGTTGTATTCAAGTAGTAACCTCATCCGCTTATGCAGAATCACGGGGCGCTAAATCACATATTTCCGTTAGGAGTCCCCACTCAAATATGTACAAATGTTAGGCCTATGACAGAAACCTTTGCGGGGCTGTACTCAACAGCTTCCCAAGTTTTCATGGCGATTGGGTGAATGATGCAGTAATGCATAATAATAATAGAGAGAAAAATGTTTTTCACATGTACAACTGTATGTGGCCAGGTCACGCGTTGGATAACCTTCTGATTTAGGGGAGGGGGGGATTAACAAAAAGCCAGACCCTCACACACCCCCACCTCAATGACTATTAATAATGTTCAATTAATTCTAAACGTTCTAATTAATTTCTAAATAATTATATAAAAAATAATCTTACCTGCCCTGTTTTGTGAATTAGATGTGCCTAATACTATGAAAGTAAATTAATATGTGTTGACTAGATCTAGTGCTGTCTAGTGTCTGACAAAATGTGCTGAAGTGGTGAATCGTACGGTTAGGAAGTAGTTCATAAACGATACATTTATCTCCTCGATACTTGTGAGGTTGAGAAAGAGGGATGGGATAGGGGTCGGCTCGGGAAAAAACTTGAAAGCGACAACAAACGCCTTGATCTATGTACGTCAGCATCGCCCATTGTAAAACTTACTCAGGGGAGATAATTTGAAGTATAGGCCTTAAAAGTTTACTATATTTCTTGTAAAATCAAAAACAAGTAAACGATACAAGATAGTACAGGATAAAAATTCAACCACTATCACAAACACATATTAACATTGAAAAATGTACAATGGATTTCGGGTCCCCTACCAATGCCGCAAATAAGAACCGCACATCATGAAAGTATTGCAAGCCCACTTCATATGTAGCGGCTTTTCGTGCTATGGACTTTGTTGTTTTTTTAAAAACAATTTTGCCGGCGACGGCGTGTGTTTGATTGTAGGGAAATAGAACTCGGCCTTGACGATGGTTAAAAAATACAACTATAAATAACTGTTTTAAATATGTAAAGAATTTGTCGACAATTTTTTAACCCCCTTTTTGGTCCCCATCCCCTGCCCCATCCGCCACAGTATACTTTGGAGGATCGGTCAAACAGTTACGTGTCCTCTATTTAGCTATCAAAGGGAGGGGGGGGGGGGGGGGCAACGAGTCAAAGAAGTCATTCAAAATTTGAAGAGTTGCCTATATTTTACACTGTAGTTTGTGTAATGGATTTTATCTTTTGCGGAAGAGCGTGGTATAATGACTGTAAAATAAAGATAATCGTACCGCAGCTACAGTGTTTTTCTTTTACAAACCAAATATTAAGGCAAAAATTAAATTCAAAATTTAAAAAAATAAATTTGGTCAGCCGTGGGCCCCTAAACGGCCCCCCCCCCCCGCGCATTGCGGGGTCTGGCGGGACTGTAGTTCCGCCCCTGTTCATCAGGTAAATGAACAACTACTGACTAGTGTCTTTAACAAAATGTGCAGAAGTGGTCAGTTTACAGTTCATAGACGGTTCGTTAATCTATGCATTACATCTTATTGTAAGAGTAAGGGTGTGGTAAGGGGTAGAAGTGAGGGGGAGGGGGGGAGGGGGAGGGGGGGAGAGAATTGGGAAGGGAAGGGGACAAGAAAGCGCCGATAAACATCTACATCAATAGTGCCGACTTTTTCCGATCGTCTAGAAGACCAGGATAGTCGCCTCGCCGCAACATTTCCCCAGCCCGATTTCAAAGCGTACCGGCACAGTCAAATTTCAGATGCTTCATCTTTGAAGTTGTCTATATGTCTGGCGGTCTCTCGAGCTATAGTCAGTGCATTTTTCTCAAAGACGTTTGCCGACTATCGTGTTTGTTTTTAACTGTAGAAGAAAGATAACTCGACCTCCACCTAATTTTTTTTTTTTTTAAAATAATTTAGCCAGGATTTTTGGGCCCCCAATTGGTCTGGGCCCCCCCCCCCCCCCCGCATTGCGGGGTCTGGCGGCACTGTAGTTCCGCCCCTGGACATTGGCCTTTTTATTATGTATAAATTTAATCCCCCACCTTATACCGATACACTAGTGACTAGTGCCTGTGGTAAACATCCTATATGTGTGTAACAGAATGTAGGTTACACGAACCCATAGTTTACTCAAACTGTTAAAATTATGTATTAGCGGCATCTACATTTTCATAAGGCTGCCACAGCAAATGGCAGCTCGCGTACTTTCGACAAACGTTTATCAAAGTTTTGATGAAAGTAGCCTATTTTCAGTGCATTCAAACGTGTATTAATATTATACCTTGAGTCAACCTGTTCCACCTACCGTACACCATATCTCAACACACACACAAACACACACCATAAATAATTCATAAAATGTGAAACGTCTCACTTTTACCAGACTAGAGTTCATTAACAACAACGAAAACGAGACTCCGAAACAAATCGAGATCAACACAGTTCACCGAATGCTGTGCTGGATTCACAATCTTTAGTACAAGACATTGTTGAACTTTGACCCCATTTGACTACTACTGTAGAACTACTGTGTAGCTTTGTTTTAATATCGCAGCTGTGGCGTGTTAGCGTGTAGTTGTTTTTTCCACCAACACCTGACAGACATAGACGAGCAGATAAAATGAAAGTATCGCGTCTGTTGCTTCAGCTGAGTTCACGGATCATCTACAGACATGCACACAACCCGACGACACGGAAGTTTTCCTGCAGTGCCGGAGTTGACCGGAAGTTCAACTCGCCACTTGGAGGAAATGTGATGCCCAGGTGTGGGGGTATCGCCTCCATGATGAGGCTGCCGGTACAGGAGACGACAGAAGGTAATGTTATTGTAAGGTAGCGGACGACAGAAGGTAATGTTATTGTAAGGTAGCGGACGACAGAAGGTAATGTTATTGTAAGGTAGCGGACGACAGAAGTTAATGTTATTGTAAGGTAGGGATGCGCGTACATTTCCGTTATCGTGTACCAGTGTATCACATTGTGACTATTCATCAATAGGATTAGTCTTTAAGCTGTCTTAATGCAGACTTTCAGTTTCTTTCAGGCATCTCTTCGGGGAGGCGCAACGTCCCCCGCCCACACTCACCCTCCCCACCGAAGCATTTCTACTTCCCCCATCCCTCGAAAGTTTCAAGTGCGTTTCCCCCTGAGAAAAATATCTGAAAGAAACACTGCTTATGATACTTAATTATAGTTTACAATAAACGTGTGGAACTGGTTAACTGAATACTGTTTTTGTCTCACCTCCAGTAGACCTCATTATCTCTAAACTCTAAACCCTACTCTCACCTCTAGAAGGCCTCGTTATCTCTAAACTCTAAACCCTACTCTCACCTCTAGAAGGCCTCGTTATCTCTAAACTCTAAACCCTACTCTCACCTCTAGAAGGCCTCGTTATCTCTAAACTCTAAACCCTACTCTCACCTCCAGTAGGCCTCGTTATCTCTAAACTCTACTCTCACCTCTAGTAGGCCTCGTTATCTCTAAACTCTACTCTCTCTTCAAGTCTGCCTCGTTATCTCTAAAATCTAAACCCTACTCTCATCTCTAGTAGGCCTCGTTATCTCTAAACTCTACTCTCTCTTCAAGTCTGCCTCGTTATCTCTAAACTCTAAACCCTACTCTCATCTCTAGTAGGCCTCGTTATCTCTAAACTCTACTCTCTCTTCAAGTCTGCCTCGTTATCTCTAAACTCTAAACCCTACTCTCACCTCCAGTAGGCCTCGTTATCTCTAAACTCTAAACCCTACTCTCACCTCTAGAAGGCCTCGTTATCTCTAAACTCTAAACCCTACTCTCACCTCCAGTAGGCCTCGTTATCTCTAAACTCTAAACCCTACTCTCACCTCTAGTAGGCCTCGTTATCTCTAAACTCTACTCTCTCTTCAAGTCTGCCTCGTTATCTCTAAACTCTAAACCCTACTCTCATCTCTAGTAGGCCTCGTTATCTCTAAACTGTACTCTCTCTTCAAGTCTGCCTCGTTATCTCTAAACTCTAAACCCTACTCTCATCTCTAGTAGGCCTCGTTATCTCTAAACTCTACTCTCTCTTCAAGTCTGCCTCGTTATCTCTAAACTCTAAACCCTACTCTGACCTCCAGTCTGCCTCGTTATCTCTAAACTCTAAACCCTACTCTCATCTCTAGTAGGCCTCGTTATCTCTAAACCCTAAACCCTACTCTCATCTCCAGTAGGCCTCGTTATCTGTAAACTCTAAACTCTACTCTCACCTGCAGGCCTAGACGTCTGCTTTGTTGGAGTTCCGCTGGACGCCGGAACCTCTTTTAGAACAGGAACCAGGATGGGACCGCGGCAGATACGGACAGAATCTGTTTTTCTCAGACCCTTCAACCCCACTACAGGTAAGTGTACACACAGTTACACTGTATTCACCTACTTATAGAGAGCCTCAGTGGTTTAGCTAAGGCAGGTGTACGGCGAGGTACCATATAACGTTAATACATGACCGGGATAACTATATTCACATTTGGATTTCCTTAAGGCAGATTTAAAATCATTGCATTTTTTAAAATATATTTCCGGTTGCTAAATATTGTAATGTTTGAAAATTAAAAGCATTTTTCCTTTTTCAAAATTCTTTTTTTAATTTTTATTTTTAAAACGAATACAATTTTTGTAAGTTTCTTTCTCTTCTTTTTGGCGAGATCTACACCTGCATTGATGTACACATTTAAATTGTTACGTTATTAGATATGTTTAAAATGTCCATTATTATAAGTTAATGTCAAAATTACCGTACGGCTATATTTATTAAGGAGCCGCCCCCTTCGAGTCCCTACAAGTGGCAGATATTGGTGACATTGCCTTCAACATTTACTCTCTACCCGAGGCCGTCAAAGAAATAAGGCAGGCATACACCAAGATAATCAAAGACGGTTGCGTCCCATTAACGTTAGGCGGAGACCACACCCTGTCATACCCCATCCTACAGGCAATGAAAGTAAGTCTCAACATGATCGTACAACATTACAATAGCAGTATCGGTAGGAAGAACAATACGACATGTCATTCTATTTTTTAAAATACGCCATTGAAATTATTCGTATTAGATACAAAAATGGAAAATAATGTTATCCTTTTCAAGTCTGGCTGATGAAATAGAGTTACATTTTATGTCCAGCCAGAGGCGTAGCGAGCCTTCCCGTCGCCCGGGGACAGACTTTCAATTTGGCGCCCCCCCCCCCCATATATATATATATATATATATATATATATATATATATATATATATATATATATATATATATATATATATATATATATATATATATATATATATATATATATATATATATATAATATTTATAATGCAAAACTGCAGCTAAAATGAGCTTTAAATTTTTCCACAACCCATTTTGGCGCCCTGGGACATATGTACCCCCGCCCCCTCTCCCCTCGCTACGCCCCTGTGTCTAGCAGCCATCGCCCTACTTTCCCTAAATGGAGTATAAGTAACAATTAGGTGGCTGGACTAAGGGACGTCCTACAGATTGAAGCAAGGGATCCGAACTCGAGACTTCAGATTGGCAATCGTAAGCTCTGCTATCCGATCACATCGTCCCTTTACTATAATGATAGTAGATCTAATAAGTATGTTAGCTATTGTACTGAGTAGTTTAACTGAGTCCATATCATGAGTTTACACGCTGGTGGACGAGCTGGTCAGTTTGGTCAAGATACACATGATTTATCATAACTATACGTGAAACTGACCTAATCCCCGCCCCATCTTTACAAGACAGGTACGGACCCGTGTGTCTGGTGCATGTTGATACTCACTCTGACCCTTACCCCCCTCCCCCCCTCCCCCTTCTATACAGGACACGTACGGACCCGTGTGTCTGGTGCATGTTGATGCTCACTCTGACCCTTCCCCCCTCCCCCCACTCTCTATACAGGACAAGTACGGACCCGTGTGTCTGGTGCATGTTGATACTCACTCTGACCCTTACCCCCCTCCCCCCCTCCCCCTTCTATACAGGACACGTACGGACCCGTGTGTCTGGTGCATGTTGATACTCACTCTGACCCTTACCCCCCCCCCCCCTCCCTTTATACATGACAAGTACGGACCCGTGTGTCTGGTGCATGTAGATACTCACTCTGACCCTTCCCCCCTCCCCCCCCCCCCCCTTTATACATGACAAGTACGGACCCGTGTGTCTGGTGCATGTTGATACTCACTCTGACCCTCCCCCCCCCCTCTATACAGGACAACTACGGACCCGTGTGTCTGGTGCATGTTGATACTCACTCTGACCCTTACCCCTCCCCCTCCCTACCCCCCTTTTATCCAGGACAAGTACGGACCCGTGTGTCTGGTGCATGTTGATACTCACTCTGACCCTTCCCCCACCCCAACCCCCACCCCCCTCTATACAGGACAAGTACGGACCCGTGTGTCTGGTGCATGTTGATACTCACTCTGACCCTTCCCCCTCCCCACCCCCCCCCTCTCTATACAGGACAAGTACGGACCCGTGTGTCTGGTGCATGTTGATACTCACTCTGACCCTTCCCCTTCCCCACCCCCCCCCCCCTCTCTATACAGAACAAGTACGGACCCGTGTGTCTGGTGCATGTTGATGCTCACTCTGACCCTTCCCCCCCCCTCTCTATACAGAAGTACGGACCCGTGTGTCTGGTGCATGTAGATACTCACTCTGACCCTCCCCACCCACCCCCCTATATACAGGACAAGTACGGACCCGTGTGTCTTGTGCATGTTGATACTCACTCTGACCCTTACCCCCTCCCCACTCCTATCTCCTCTATACAGAACAAGTACGGACCCGTGTGTCTGGTGCATGTTGATGCTCACTCTTACCCTTCCCCCTCCCCACCCCCCTCTATACAGGACAAGTACGGACCCGTGTGTCTGGTGCATGTTGATGCTCACTCTGACCCTTCCCCCTCCCCACCCCCCTCTATACAGGACAAGTACGGACCCGTGTGTCTGGTGCATGTTGATACTCACTCTGACCCTTCCCCCTCCCCCACCCACCCCTCTATACAGGACAAGTACGGACCCGTGTGTCTGGTGCATGTTGATACTCACTCTGACCCTTCCCCCTCCCCCACCCACCCCTCTATACAGGACAAGTACGGACCCGTGTGTCTGGTGCATGTAGATGCTCACTCCGACACCAGCGACACGATGTTTGGGGCAAAGATTGCTCACGGTAAGCCAGTTGCTCTCTTCACATCTTCTATACACGTACTTTTTAGTAAGTTGTAAGTTAAGTTCCCTTTTCAAACCTAACGGTTTATGGGGCTAAAGAAGTAGAGTTAATCTGTTTCTGTAACCTCTTAATATGAAGGGATAGTGTTTTCAGCACTAACCACAGTAGCCTTTACTTACCCTAACGTGAGTTAGGTACCCATGAGAGCTGGGTGGACTCAGGGACTGACTTGAACCCTGATTCAAACTCGAGACTTTTGGGTTAGAACTCCAACTTTTAAAATGACTTTATATTTAAACAAATTTAAGTTTAAATAAGTCTAAGCAAAGCTCCAAATCCAATCTAATTTTGATTTTTTACTATAGTTTTAATAGCGAATTTAAACAATAACGTTATGAAAATTCGATATTTTAATATTTCAGTCCCTCCTGCTGTCTCCAATCCCTCCTGCTGTCTAAAATCCCTCCTGTTGTCTTCAATCCCTGCTGTCTCCAATCCCATCATATCCGCCTCGCTTATAGCCTTTGTATCTACCCAGGCACCCCATTCAGACGAGCTATAGAGGAGGGCTGTATTGACTGTAAGAGTTCCATACAGATCGGCCTGAGGGGGACGGGCTACTCTGTGGATGACTACAAGTGGGTGGCTGACCAGGTAGATATGACTCTAATGACGGGTATACTGGACATCAGCGCTAGTTGCTTAGTTGTTGTTGTGACAGAAATCTAGCTAGGAAATACAGTTATATTGGTCAGTAGCAGGAAGAAGCAGGAACTACATTTCGTCACAACTAAAGTTAAGTAAATGGCTCCATAGTTTGATAGACTATTGGATGATTGCGATTTGGAAATCCAATCTCAAAGGCACATATGTTTTCCATGTATCATATCCCACCCTCTTCCCCTCGCCACACAGCTGATATACCCAAGGGAGAGGCATCCCCTATACAATCTAGATGCAGTTGTGTCAATGAAAACCAAAGTCTCCTCTTAAGGACTCCCTCGTCTTTGACTTCGAAGTATTCTCTCCTAGATGGCTTACTGTCCCAAACTAACGAGCTTCATGTCCATGGTGGTTCGAGCAAATGACCTTACAGGCAAGCATCAATACACTTCCCCGCCGGACCACGCCGATTAGCTATCAATACTAACGGCAAGGATCACAAATCTCCATTTCAGTGCCGGCACACGACCTCTAACCTCCCATGTCTATCCCCAGGGTGTACGTATGGTGCCGGCACATAACCTCTAACCTCCCATGTTATAGCCGGCACATAACCTCTAACCTCCCATGTCTATCCCCAGGGTGTACGTATGGTGCCGGCACATAACCTCTAACCTCCCATGTTATAGCCGGCACATAACCTCTAACCTCCCATGTCTATCCCCAGGGTGTACGTGTGGTGCCGGCACATGACCTCTAACCTCCCATGTTATAGCCGGCACATAACCTCTAACCTCCCATGTCTATCCCCAGGGTGTACGTGTGGTGCCGGCACATGACCTCTAACCTCCCATATTTAACCCCAGGGTGTACGTGTGGTGCCGGCACATGACCTCTAACCTCCCATGTTATAGCCGGCACATAACCTCTGACCTCCCATGTTTAACCCCAGGGTGTACGTGTGGTGCCGGCACATGACCTCTAACCTCCCATGTTATAGCCGGCACATAACCTCTGACCTCCCATGTTTAACCCCAGGGTGTACGTGTGGTGCCGGCACATGACCTCTAACCGCCCATGTTATAGCCGGCACATGACCTCTGACCTCCCATGTTATAGCCGGCACATGACCTCTGACCTCCCATGTATAACCCCAGGGTGTACGTGTGGTGCCGGCGTGTGAGTGCTGGAACAAATCCCTGGTGCCGCTGATGGAGGAAGTCAGGAAAAACGCGGGAAACAAACCTGTTTATATAACGTTTGACATCGACGGCCTTGACCCATCTTTTGCACCTGGCACAGGTAATTTACATCTTTGTGTTGTCTTGGATTTTGTTTTTCACCTTGTATTTCGATCAAGTTTTAAAACTTAGTTACCATGTCAGTTAGGTCACGATAAAGCATCGTGTGGGTCAGGTCACATTTAGGTATCTTGCAAATATAGTAACGTTCAGAGTTTTTTCCAGGCAAATCTCTTGGGGGTTGGGGGGGGGGGTGCGAAGAAAATCCACCGCTCCCCCCCCCCCCCCCCCCCACCCCCGAATGATATGGAATTTATATATAAAATAATGACTTTTACTAGTATCCGCCGCAACCTTTTCCGGAAAATGTTGTCCGCCCCCCCCCCCGAAAACATCAACTGCCCCCCCCCCCACCCTAGGAGAAAAAAGTCAGGAAGAAACACTGGTCACTTTTGGCGTGGGATCTGTTTTATGTATAATATACGGCACCCGCCTTCTTTACCCTGGGGACAGTACAGTTACAGAATACACTTTTTTTTTACACCGTCAACTTTAGGCACACCGGAAATTGCCGGTTTAACCGTCATCCAGGGACTGGAGGTCATCCAGGGCTGTAGAGGTCTGAATGTCAAGGGCGCTGATCTGGTAGAGGTAAGATAAACTGTTCGAACCCAGGCATCTTGTTTATGACCGTCCAAGAGTTCACCCAGCTCTGATGGGTACCTGACTTAACGTTAGAGACAATAATGTCGAATGGATACAGTGCTTTAATATGCCGAGATCACTAAAATCTGTGAACTCTACTTCACTTGCCCCAATGACAGACACCTTCGAAAAGGATACTTTTACTGAAACAGGTGAACTCATCTTAATCTACCCCATGTCCGAAAGCTTCCTTCCTTTCAATTTTTAAAGCCGTAAATCAGATGTCAATAGCTACAACACGATGTCACCTTGTTATATTTTCCCCAGGTGTCGCCACCCTACGACCCGTCAGGTAACACAGCTTTACTGGCGGCAAACTTGTTGTTTGAACTGTTGTGTGTCGTACCTGGTGTCAAGTTTTATCGACAGTAACACGCGTCAGCTATCAACATTAGCGAGTGGCAGTTATCAACATTAGCGAGTGGCAGTAATCAACATTAGCGAGTGTCAGCTATCAACATTAGCGAGTGGCAGTTATCAACTTAAAAATATGAACGTGTCTGCTTTCAAGATTAAAATGTGTCAGTTATGAACATTAAAACATGTCAGTAATCATCATTAAAACCTGCAAGTTATCAAGATTTAATACGTGTCTGCTTTCAAAATTAGCAAGTGTCAGCTATCAACATTAAAACGTGTTGGCAGAGGCGTAGCGACCCTTCCCGACGCCCGGGGACAATCTTTTCGATTTGCATCCCCACCCCCCCCTTTCAAGATTTCGATTTGCACCCCCCCCCCCCACAAACTTTTAATTTGCGCCCCCTTAACCTTTCAATTTATTTTTCCAACCCATTTTGGCGCCCCCTAAGATCGGCGCCCGGGGACTTATGTTCCCCCCCCCCCCCCCGCCACCCCCCCCCCCCTCGATTCGCTACTGCGTGTTGGATATCAACATTAAAACGTGTCAGCTATCAACATTAACAATTGTTGGATATCAACATTAGCAAGGTTAATGCCATTAGTGTCAAGTACCAACAATAACAGGTGTTAGTTTTGAACATTAGCAGTTTTCCTGTCACCTATCATCGCTACCTTTGTCACACATTATCAACATACTCAACACTTGGTGTCATCTATCAACACCAACAAGCATCGGCAGTTACCCATGTACAGAACTGGTGTCAACTGTATCAACGTACACAACTCCGTGTGTCACTTATAAACAGAACTACTTCACTCATAAAATATTGGTTGCTTTCAACAAGCTCTTCGATCTTGTTTGTTTAATTACTAATTACATCTAAATACTTTATTCAATGATCCACCCCAACTATTTCACCTCTCTAGATACACTGACCCTATGTACTATAAATTAAGTGTTGAGTCCCTATCCTTTAAAAACGGAAAAAGGTCTCAAGAAAAAAAAAACAGAAAAAAAATCACACCAAGATAGTTATTAAAGTATCTGGTAAAACGCTTTGTTAGAGTACTTCCAGTATCTAACTCACGTCATCATCATTTTATTCAGCTTTCACTGACGGGACTTGTGTGACTCAATATATAGTTGAAGTTTGTGTTGACTCAATATATAGTTGAAGTTTGTGTTGACTCAATATATAGTTGAAGTTTGTGTTGACTCAATATATAGTTGAAGTTTGTGTAATTTTGAAGTGTTCAATAGTCCGCATTGGTCTCTTGTTTTCGTTTTGAAAAAAGCACTTTACTAAAATAGCATTTTACTAAAATAGCATTTTACTAAAATAGAATTTTACTAAAATAGCATTTTACTAAAAAAAAAAGCACTTTACTAAAATAGCATTTTACTAAAATAGAATTTTACTAAAATAGCATTTTACTAAAATAGCATTTTACTAAAATAGCATTTTACTAAAAAAGCACTTTACTAAAATAGCATTTTACAAAAATAGCATGTTACTAAAAAAAAGCACTTTACTAAAATAGCATTTTACTGTAATAGCATTTCGCTTGTAACGTTTTGAGTTTTAGCTAGTGACTACTTTAAATACCACAGTTAAAATATCCATCATAATATGCACACACACAACACGAAGAACATCTGTCATGAAGTTCACAATTGTTAAGTTTGATTTCACCTATTTTGCAGATTTTCTAACATACTTTTACAGAATATATCAATACCCGACACCACAGATTTAAAAAAATTATTTAACATGTTTCAGAGTGTTTAACAAATATGTATGTTAATAATTTTTAACCTAAAGCCTAAATAGTATATAGCTGCCATGGGTGCCATGGAAACTCAAAAAGGTGTGAAAACTAACACGGCGATTTTAACTTTCAATTTTGCATTTTTACCCAAAATTCCGAGAACTTGAAAAGAAAGTTGGAAAATTAGATTTTACGGTTCCTCTTACAGAAAAAAGGTCTTGTTTTATGTAGAAGGACCGTTTGACAAAATACATGTTGATTTCTGTTGTAAATTTCAGATAGTTTTTTATATAAGTAGAAAGTATGTATTCAAGAGTGAATGCGTTAATGACTTTGATGATGAATAAACTTTATGTAACTCATAGAATAATACTTGATGAATATGATAGTTAATATATAATTATTATATATTATCATATTCATCAAGTAATATTCTATGAGCAACTACTAACTGAGCAGATTAAGTTGTTTGTTAGCCGGTCTTCTCACATCAAATTTTTAACTAACACAAGTTGATTCATCATCATTTCCCATCAGTGCCCAAGACACATGGGGCAGATGAAGTAGAGTTAATCTGCTTGAGAGACATTTGCATATGAAGGAATAGTGTGGTCAGCACTATCCCCATCCGCTTATGTAATCCTAACATAAGTTACTCATCTGAGTTGGGTGGACTCACGGACGTTCCACTGATTTGACCTGGATTTGAACTCTAGACTCCGTCCCATACACAAGTTTATGGACTCCTGTTAATAGCCCCCCCCCCCCCACCTTTACTCCTCCCTCCCGCATGCTGGTGCTGATGCGTGAAGGGTCCGATGAGAAATTTAGAAAGATCGACGGTAAAGAAAAACTTATTGTACCACTTACAGAAGACAATGGTGCTATTTTGTACTACGTGCACTTAGAAGAGTTATTCGACTTAATCTATGAAACTCACTTGAAAATTGGACATGGAGGTCGCACACGGATGGAAAAAGAGCTGAAGAAAAAGTACAAAAATATCATTAAGAAAATAATTGCTTTGGTTAGGCAAACCTTGTCCGACAAAATTGTCTAATCCTAATACATATCTGGTTTCCAAACCTTTGATATTTAAAGAATTCAACTCAAGATCCCAAGTGGATCTTATTGATATGCAAAGTAACCCAGGTGGCAAATACAAGTTTAAAGTCAGTTACCAGAATCATTTAACCAAGTTCATATTGTTGCGAGCTTTGGAAGCCAAAAGAGCAGAAGAAGTTGCTTACCAGCTGCTGGATATCTTCACGACTATTGGTGCCCCAAGTGTGCTTCAATCCGATAATGGAAGAGAATGTGTTAACTAAGTTATTTCTGAACTAAAAAACATGTGGCCTGAACTTAAACTACTTCACGGACAACCAAGGCATAGCCAAAGGCCGAGATCAAGATAAGTTTCTGACTTTGGCCGGTCTATGGGAGGTGCATTGGCCGATGCGCGCCTTGGCCGGCCAATTTATGCTTTGGCCGACTTCGGACGTAACACACACACACACATTTGTAAAAGTCTGAAAGATAAATTGTATGGCGATGGGGCACTCAAATATGCAGGCCTAGTTTATATAGCTTTGTCGCTAAATATACCGATAGACGGTGTTTTATGTAAGCTACACAAAAGACATTGTTGTGTGGTTTTCCTTTTTGTGATTGAAAACGTTCTAACTTCTAAATAATTTACTTCTTTATTAACCAGTTAGACATTTTAGCGCCAACATAAAGCTACTGAAGTATCTAGTAACACGCTTTGGTAGAGTACTTCCGTTCTCTAACTCACGTGATCTAATTCATTGTATTCAGCTTTCACAATTGGTGCTGGTTTGACGCAATTAACTTTAATTAAAGTTTGCGTAATTTTGAAGTGTTCAACAGTCCTAATTGGTCTCGTGTTTCCGTTTCGAAAACATCACTTCACTAATATAACACTTCACTAATATAACACTTCACTAATATAACACTTCACTAATATAACACTTCACTAATATAACTATTCGTTATATATATATATATATATATATATATATATATATATATATATATATATATATATATATATATATATATATATATATATATATTATACTGCGGGGCACAAGTTTAACATTTAACCTACTTTTCGAGACCTATCTTAAAACCCAAAGATCACATGTCTCGCATATAAAAGATGTATAGCTGAATTAAGTCTGACAACTCAAGCAAAGGCTGCGCTTGTGAATTAATACAGATTTGTGGGTGCTTGACTTTCCATATCTAGCAGGAATAACACAACAATTAACATAACAGCGTTACACTAGCCTGACATGTGACGAAGAACTTTACTCATGATTTGTGCTGAGCTAGACGCCGAGAAGTAAGCCAAGACCTATATATGCGATGAGTCTTGAAAATTTCTGATATTTTACATGCAAGTTTTAAATTCGTTGTTTCTGTTAGGTGGGTTTGTTAGCTGTTTTTTTTTTTAAAAAAGCTTGTAAATTTAATTTAAATAATCTAAAAAAAAGGCGCCACTATGCTTAAAATGGTCGTAGGTCGTTTTCTAATCAACCTAAGCATCAGTTAAACGTGTATGAAAAATTGCGCAAATTAAAGCGTCCACTTACGTCAAGAGCTTTTGTCAATTTACGGGGAAAACAGCTTTGATTAGATTATAAAACAACTAATGGTTAACGGAGCTTTTAAAACAACTGGATGTTAGATCTTGTACGGACGACTAGGAAGAGCTGAGCTGAGCTTTTGTTTACAAAGGTTGGATTGGGGCACGCTTGCGCAGGGGCGGACTGGCTGTTTCCATTTAGGAATTGTGGTAGAAGCGTCTGTGTTGGTTTTTGAGGTATGTCTAAGTTTCTATTTTCTGGAAATACAGTGGTACCTCGTCACACAAGTGCCCCGATATAAGAGATTTTGAGATAAGAGTTGTCGAGCGAGCAACAATTCGACTTGACAAACGAGCAAAATTTGACTTGACCAACGAGCAAAATTTGACTTGACCAACGAGCAAAATTTGCTATACGAGTAAACGGATTAAACAGTTCGCAGGAAAGAAAAACCCCTAAAAAGTTGGAACTGATTGTTCATCAGAGCTATTTAATTACAATTACTAACTCATTCCCAAACCATTCTGAAAGGTAGGAAAAAGCAAACCTCCCTGGATATGTTTATTTTAACGGTCTGTGTGGAAAAGTGAGAAAATTTACGAAATCATGGCAACAATAGCAAAGATTTGCGAAGAGAAAAGCAGTAACGCAAATTAAGTTAAAGTAACAAAACATTATAAAGTAACATTTAGTTTTAATTATGTTCGGTGAGTTTTAAGTTAAGTTTAGGGATACGGTGTAGCGTTGAGCGTGTAACGAGTACATGAATTAAAGTGACCGAAAGAGCTTAACACTAACAGTGAGTAAATAAACTCCACTCTACACTGGGCCTTCGCCTCCTCCAACCTTTTACGTAATCTCAAGTTGTCTGATTTTCAAAGGAAATACACTTTAAAAAAAACAGTTTATTTCTTTGCATTGCCTTTATTATGTTATTAAAACAATATTTATCATGTATAAATACACTTTTATTATCAAATTAAAAAAACACTGGTTTGGCATTTTCGGGGCCGGAGCGGAATAGCGGCAATTCAATTAATTTCAATAGAGAAAATGCTTTGAGATACGATCAATTTGACATACGAGCAATGTGACGGAACGAATTAATCTCAAATCCCTAGGTACCTCTAAACTTTCATAAACCGCAAAGTTAAATGTGAGCATAACTTTAATACTAGTCTCAGAGGCTACAAGAAAAACCATAAGTATTTTTTCTATTTTTCACTGGAATCCATTGCCTTTCTCTACTCTACCAACTGGATATGGCCAGATTTATTATCTAACTAGCGTGCCCGTCCCAATGCGTTGCCGCGGGAATTGAAGTCCGAGGATAGCCCGGGGCAAATCGCAACCTACCGGAGAGTCGGCGGGCGCGCGTGATTCAGTTCAGTAAACTACTTTAATGTCCCATTGTATCCATAGTCTATCGTACTGTTTAAAACGAACGCAGGAGACATAGCGCTCACAGGATAACACGGGGCGCTGAGGCGCCACCCTTTAGAAATTGATTTTTTTCGGAAAATCCTCCCCAGGGATATTGTGAAAGGTGTAGTAGTGCGTAAAATTAAATAAAATCTGACGAAATATATTAGAAGGGCTTCATCAATGCTTTACCAATCCTATATTGTTAGACTCGTAGCCTTGTTTTCTAAATCTGAGTTATTTAATGTAAACAATGCCTGCGCTCGTACCATATTTATCGATTTTACCATTGTTGGATTTTTTAAAATTATCGGCGAATTGCAGATTTGATTGATCTATATATCACTGTTAACACTCATTTTTGCCACACCGTTGCATTATAAAACTTAAAGTGTTTGTGCACAATTTCTGGCTAAATTCAGTTAAACGCCAAATTGTTTTCAATTTTTAAAATATTTGTATAGGCCATATATGCGACCGCATTTCCACGATTGTGGTTGCATTAGTTTGCAATCGTACTTACATTTTGCATGCGTTTTTGTTTTCGTTTTGTGTGTGACATGTGTTTGTGTTTCTATTTGCGTTTTTTGTGTGTTTGTGTTTGTGTTGGTTTTGGTTGTAGTTCTGGTTTGTTTGTAACACTGCCTCAAAGGTGATGTTATTACCCACTGAGGTGTTGTGTTTAAAAGGGCTGAGCCTGAGAGATAACAATCGACGAAACGACGCTGTTGTTGTTAGATACTGGCTTTATTGACATCAACATCCAAGCCATAAACGGCTATGTAGGTAGAACAGTAGACAAGTTAAAAAATACTGTAGCAACATGTAGAAAAATATATTGTAACAACCTGTAAAAAAATCCGTAGCCCTAAAACAAATGTAAACAGCAATAGATTACATCACTGAAGATACGACCACGTGTACACTACATAATTACACGGCTGTCATAAAATAGGTTATGGCCAGTACACACTACTGCCAACAAGTACCAACAAGTCATACAATAATAAAATCTTAACCCAACTAGCCCGCAACATGCAGCACTAGTAGGAGTAATACACACAAGTAATCTAAATACTTCACATACCTAGTCTGCAACATGCAGCACTAGTATGATAAAGCAATAATAATCTAAAACATAATGTACATTACCTTCATTAGGTCTACATGACTGAGGTAATATAGGCAACGACATCGTCCGTGTCAAAACCCGTGGTTTTGAATGAATAACTGTGAATCTATGACAACCTACTTTTGTTCGTCTAAATTTCAGCAGAACCCCGATCTACCGATTCGATCACTTTTTAAACCTACTTTTGTTTTTTCTTTCCTAAATGCCAGAAAAAAATGGACACTAGTGGCCTGGCCAGGGTAGCGATTGTCCTTGTTTATCTGCTCTCTGTTGGCACAGGTATGTCGGGAAGATACAATATACATGTTATTTTGGAAAATATATTCTACTGCTTTACTTTTAATAACTTGTTTATTAATTGTCAAGCGTAAAAAAGGTTTTTTTCGTCTTTTTTCGTCAACTATAAGATCTTATGACATTTAGATATTTTACATATTTTAGGGAGAAAAGAAAGCATATTCGTTTTATTTTCTTATTTTCAGTGCATTTAAAAGCTAGTTATTATGAAGTTGTTTTTTTTACATCTGTTTTATATTTTACTTTTTAGTGAAGTCGATACGATTGAAAATTTAGCTTTAAAACTAAAAAAATAAAAGGAATAAACATTCATCTGATATATATTCTAAGCTTTTTTTTTTTAGATTTCCGTCCGTGACCATAGTCTCCAGTGTGATTTTGGGATAATAATTGTTTATTTATTCATGATGTAATTTCATGATGTTAAAAACAGTTGACTTAAAAGTATTTAAATTGTCTTTGAAAAGTAGCAGATAGTAAATTCAGCATTTCTATGAATCACATTTTGGATAAAAAAACTTTCATTACTCAGATAGTATTACTTAGGTTCCTAACTGCTCTATGAAATTAAAATAATGCAGAGTTTAAAATGGTGTTAAACTGTCAGAAAACAAAGTCAGCCTTTCATGCATGTCAACTCTAACTTTACATGATTTACTAAATGAAAGGGAATTAACGTTTTAAAAAACAATTTGAATTTCTGCTTTATAAATGTCAATTGCTTTGAATCATTTTAGTTATATATTTTTTCAGCACATTAGTTTTTATTTAGCATCACTGATTTTTTGCATAGTTATTTTGTAATGTTTTAGGTCCACACAATGTACTATTTAATATTGTTTGGGCCAGTTTATGGATTGATTGAACTAGGTTATTTAATTTGTATCTGATATTTTTTCAGAACCTGAAAAATCAAAAACAATTTATTTATTATATAAAAATAAATTATATAAAGAATCTACACATAATTTGAATTTTATTTAATTTATAATAGTTTTTAAAATATTTGTTATAAAATACACAAAAATATCTATATATCTAATTCTCTTCTTGGAGACGCTATAAAACACCAAGCTGTAAGCGCGCTCTCTACCACCCCACCCCTACATGGTCTGGTGAGCTGTGGCTCACGCTAAATGTTTACAATCGTAGAGCCGGGTTTAGTGACGGCTATTTGGGGGCAGATTATTTAATTTGAAACGATTTTAAACTTAGGGGAGGTAACTAAGAGGAGGCTGCTTTCACGGGAGGGGGGGGGGTGTAGGGTAGGGGTTGGGGGAAAGGAGGGTGGGTGTAGTATCGTCCTTAACGACCTACTGATAGTGTTTTAAAGCAAATATTTTCAGTGGCAGCATTGATATTGTCGGCTCGTAGTATATAATATACTAAATTTAACAATAATATAATATGGATGATTTTTGCGTAGTACTCAAGAATATAATAAGGATTTCTCTAATGTTGATGATACCTAATTGTATACTGGACTAATCTAGATAACGGTTGATTTCAGAAGTAGTTAATGGCAAGTTTGATCTAAGAGGTGAGTTGTTTATTATTATAGTTTTTTTTTAGTTATGATGTTTTTGTTTTAATAGTTTAGTTATAGCTGCTTGTTATTTTTACTTTTTTTAAAAATTATGATGCCATCAAATCACTTTAAACAATGGAATTATTTCAGTGTTACTAACATGGGAAAAAAACATTTTTTTTCAATAACATCAAAGAAGCCTAATGCCTGAAATAATTTTATTTTTTTTGAGACTGCATTTCTGTTTACACATTTAAAGTTGTAATGTGTCTTTAAGCTTCATGAAAATGTCTAATTTTACAACTTAAATTGGCCACTGAATCAAGACCACAGCTGTTTGAGTGCTTTACTCTTCTCATAAATTTAATTGTGCCTTTTGAAAAAGATTAATGTTTAAAAGCTTCAGGCTTTTCTATATTCTAATGGAAATTGCATTTTAATAACATTGCAAATAATTCTTAAAGTTTTTCAAACCCTCTTTGAATGTCCAAATGGTTTGATGCAATCAAACAACCAATGTCAGCATCGTTAATCTCTAGCTGCTATTATTTTACCAAAATTTTGCTTGTTTTTGTTTTCTTAGAAAAGTTGAATTGACAGAGGTATCTGTTATTTATATATATATTGAAGATATGTTAAAAATATAGTAGCCCACCCTTTGAGATTTGGTTATCAATAGAAAAAAATGTAATAGAGTTAATGGTTACACAATTTGGGAATCGTCTTATGGGCCTTCATTAATTTTTTAGAACAAAGTGCTGTTGATATTGTGTTCATCGTCCATTTTAATCCTCAACGAACCGACAATGAATTTAAACAACTGATTGATTATATACAGTCAATGTTGAACACTGCTGATATTGATGGAGGAAAAGTTAGGGCATCTGTAGTTTTGTCTCCAACTTACAAAGTTTATGATTTACAAGGGTTGTATAAAAATGAAAGTTTAGCATACAATTATGTTACATTAGTAAAATAACAAACTTTGTACTTATGCTCTTGCAATATGCGGTAAAAATACTTAATTTAGTGTGTACATATTTTGAAATGATAACTTCTATTGTGCTGCATTTATAATTTAGAGTTAAATGTGTTTTTACAGACGAAGTTCTAATGAAGGTGCCGTTGGGGCTCTGGATGGCATTTCAAAGAATTTCATGAGAAGTCCAAGGTTTAATCTCTTATCTTCATTGAGATTGCTAGAAAATGATATTTTAAAAGAAGAAAACGGTGACAGGAAGAATGTTCCAAATGCTGTTGTCATCATTACTGATACAAACTCTCAGCAAAAGATGTCAGAAGTGAGTTATTTTATCTAATAATATATTTATAGTTTTAAAATACTTTCTTGTTTTATAATTATCATAACATTTTATGTTTTAAATATTGCACTATTATTAAGATTATTTCAATTATTCTTTTGTAATTGTTTATAATGCCATGCACTTTTTAAGTCTTGTTAAAACATAATTGTAGCAAAAAATATAAAAGTTTATAATCAAATCTTTCTATGTAGTAAGATCTTTGTGTAGTTTTAAATTTTTACCTATTTCAAAATGTTTTGCTGAATTAATTTAAAAAAAAGTTTTTTCTTGTACAGCTTAGGTCTAATCATTGTTTAAAAGTTATTTTACATAATTTATTAATAGTGAAAGGTAAAATAAAAATATTTTACAGATTGAAACTTTGACAAAATCAATTGAAAGTAAGAATGGAGTTTTATATACAATTGGAATTGGTCTGGTTGATAAAAAAGAAATGGAAAGCGTGGCATCATCCACTGAAAATGTGTTTACCTTTTCTGATTATGGAGAACTGGAACGATATGGAGCAATACTGAGAAAGCAAATAAGTGCATGTAGGTGTTAATATTTTTGTAGCATATGAAATTGTTTCTCTTTTTAAATTAAATATTTTAACAATCACAGATAAACTAAATAATGTTAATGGTAACTATTAAAATGTTTAAGGCCTGTATTCAAGTTATGTAATTTGTGTATGATTGTTAAGTCGTATCTTTTCAAATCAATATTTGCTGATTTTTAACGAATTTATATATTTTTAAAATTTTAACAGTGGCCACAAGAAAACGTAAGCATGGATTTTATGTTAAATTTAATAAAGCCAATTAAAATATAACATGTTTTATTTTAAGAGCATCTTTTAGTTATTTTATTTATAAAAATCCAATAAATACTAATTTTAACTACATTTCAAATTCTACCAGTAAGTTAAAATTGCATGTTAAGTAACGACTATTATTTAAACATTTTTTATCTATATTTCAAAATTAGATAGTTATTCAGTTTTACGCTAATTTTATTTTAAACCAATATATTTCTATCAATAATATAATTTTGTAAGAAACATATAAATTACTAGATTGTTTAAAAAAATTAAAAAGTTAATCTCCAATTGCTAATTTTATGCTGTTAGTAAACAATGATTTTGTTTTACTGAAAATTTTATTGCATAAGAATTTTTTAATGTTTATCTCCCTGATGAACTAGTAATAAAACAGATAGTGTTAGTTATCTCACAAGTTAAAGACAATTACAAATATACTGTTTCTAATTCACAGCTTCTCTTGATTGCATTTTGATCGCATCATTTTGTTGTTATAACTTATATATTTTAAAAAAAGAAATATCAAGAAAACATTTTCACAGCAATAACTACATGTTGGGAGTTAAAAAAAACAGAATGTTATGTTAACTAACATAATATAACAAAGAATGACAATACAACATAACCTGTAAATATTACTAAAATTCAGTTATGGCTGTACTGATACATGGTTAGATATTGTGATTGTTTTTGATGCCTCAATTAATCTAAAAACACCAATCAGCAAGGTAATTATGTAAAAGATTTTAAAACGTAGATGGAGGTAGATGGAATGAGAGAAATTAGAAAAAAAAACTTTTTTTTACCTACACACTATTTTCCACGAAAATGATTAACACTGACAACATCCCTCAAGACACTGTTCCTTTTGCATTAGATTCCATTTTATTCGACTTTTACTTTTCTACGCGCCATTTGTTACTCAGCGAGCATCGGGCCTACCAACACCATAACCAGTGACTAGTAAGTCATATTTTAAACCTATACATTACAGTGGTGTGTTTTATTAATTGTGAGTACGATGCGTTATTTCCAGCAAAGTCTCATTATCTTTGCAAAGATGACCGGAGCTTTATGTTCTGGTTTCCAGTTCACCACTAGATTTTATAAGGATTGGAATGGTTTTAGTTTTGGAAATTAATTTTGACACATTGTCATACAAACTGAAATAGAAATGGTACATATAATTGGTTTTGTAATGTACGTTTATTTTTAAAATCATAATCATTATTCCAGTGAACCCCTTGTGGAACATAGGGACGCAATCACACCTATCAATCGTACGTGTTATCATGCTAAAATGGAAATCAAGATTTTCACAAATCTCGACGTTTTACACCTCCCTGAGTCTGTTGGTCTGTGTGGTTCTGTGTGTATGTATGTCTGTCTGTCTGTCCGTGAACACGATTACTTGAGTACAGTTACAGTTAGGTTGATGAAATATCAAATATAACTATTATATCAAATGTGTATTTTTGTATCTATTTTTCCGGTACTTATGGAACTTATTCTACTTTCGGTTTTTTAAAAGCCTATCATTTGAGTACTGCTTCTGAAAATAGAAGAAATTTCATATGAAAGTAAAAGATCTAATTCTCTGTTTTCTATCAAATGTTAAGTAAATTCCGTTGAACGAAAGTAGAACTTTACACTATTTCCGATTTCTCAAAAAAAAAAAACGCATATGAATTTATAAATACAAAGATTCCGCATTATTATACAAACATTGTTTGCTGTTCACTTGGTACGTAATTTTTTTTTCCTACGAGATTCCATCCAATGTTTAAAAGTTTAAGTATGTAAAAATTGATTGAAAATCATGTCTATATCCCGAGTTGCCATCCTCCGTATTGGTATAAAAGAATATTCGAAAAGGTTTTGGGGTGATTGCTCCCTCTTTATTTAAGGGGATATGCTATGTTTTTTTTCTATTTTTTACAATTTAAGATCGAAAGCCTTTTGAATACTATTATCATGTTTGGCACATGAAAGTAAGTATTAAACAGCAAAAAAAGGGTTTGAAAACAATTTTGGTTGTCATGAAAACCCCAAAAAACCTCAACCATTTTGAATTTTTCGGCACTATTAAAAATGCTAAGGCTTATTTATTTATGCACCTATAGCAATCAAATTTAAACTGCATATATTTCAATATATTTTAAAACTTTTGTCGCGACAACTCTTTGAAATAGCTACTAGTAAAACGTTTACAAGGTCTAAATATCGTGCCCTTTTTAGTATCCAACATTTTTAATTTTTGCATATTAATTACCAAATACTTTTTTCCTATGAAAGCCATCACGATTCCCTCGTGACAAAAAAAATATTTTGGCATAAAGAACATTTAAGGAAAATATGGTTGGTATTGTTCAATAAATTAAAAAAGTAGTAGGGTTTTTGGTGTTAAAAAACCTGCAAACTGATATAAACAGCAAAAAAAAAAAAAAAAAAAAAAAAAAAAAAAAAAAAAAAAAAAAAAAGGTCACAAAAATACCATATCTGTGTAAACTACAAAGCGGTTTATAAGCTTTGGGTGTTTCCGAGATGATGGAAATTAGGATTATGAAACACATAAGAAGTCCAGCTTTACAATTATGTCAAATACAATATGATGACGGATATAAAACATTTGTTAGAGTGCTTATTAGAATTGAAAAACTTAATTATTTTTTTAATTAATAGGGTCATAAAAATGGTAATTTAAACACATAAATAATTTTTTTTTCTCATTAGAGTAATTAATTTCTTAATACAAAAATGGACAAAGTATCCGAAAATGCAAGAAACCCATCATGCCGTAAAACAAGAAATTTTGTGATTTTTTGCTTAGCATATCCCCTTAAGCTGGTATAGTAATCAAAGTATTACACTGCAAAGCTGTTAAAATTCATGATATTTATAGTTGACCCTTACATTCATACACAAAGATTGTTAACAAACGTGTTAAATTCGTGTTAATGCGTATTAATTTTCGATAAAACCTTGTAACATTTTTATTTGTGGGCTCTTTCTTTAATTAAGAGTAGGTTTACGCCTATAATATGTTATCAAAACTAATAAAATATCAGTTTTTATGTACAATTGTGTAAGCTTTGCATGACCGACAATGTGTAAACACCGACACTCGTGTTAGATGTGTCAGTAATGTAGCTGTTTACCACCTGCTTAAGAAATTTTTTTTAACAAGCGGGAGGGGATGGGGCAGTGACCGTGGGTATTTTTTAAATCAATTCATGGTATTTCAAGTTTATTTTTAAACATTTCATACAACTGTAACTGAATCTTAGTAGGTCTACATCATTATTTTGTGTCAAAGCCTAAGATGATGTAGATCTACACATTATTTTCAAAAAACTCAAAACAACCACGTTACAATTTCGATATTTAAATATCAGCTCGTGTATAATGTGCTCGCTTTGTCAGGTGTGTAGGGCTACCGTCAGCGCGACCACAAAAATGGGGGAGAGGCGTTTTTTCAGCATAAAGTTGAGTAAAAGTAATATAATGACGTAACGTTGATTAGCCGAATTTACTCGTACACATATAGTCGTTGATAGCTAAACAGCCACAAATGACAGTAAAAAGTTCGTTTTACAACATCTTCAAATAAAAAAAAAGACGCATGACTGACTGCAATCTCTGACTCTTTATAACAAACAGTGGAAAAAAAAGCCTTTAAAATCGAGAGGCAGGGTATACAGCGTCCACGCGCGATTAACTCTTTCAATAAAGAACAATTTTAGATAGTCTTAGCACATTCACAGGGTAAATTAACACGCCGTAGACTTACGGACATCTTAGAAAAGTTTAACTCCTAATTATTACTTAGGCCAAGTAATAGATGTTACCGAAAATATTTAATCCCTACATTACGTTATTAGTTAATGTACACATTGCATGTAAATGGAATGGTAATTACTGAAAAGGATTACAAGTTTATACTGTTGTACCAAGATCATCTCACCAACTTTGTGGTTCTCTGGCCTCTCAAAACAAAGCCAGCGGAAGAAGTCGCTTACAGCTTTTATAGGCACATTAATCTTGTTTGGTGCACAATTGAATTTACAGTCCGACAATGGTCGGGAATTTTCAATGATATACTGTGTCACTTTGAAGAGTGTACATGAGAAGCCCTGCCACCCGCAAAGATAAGGAAGTTTTGAAAAGAGTTAACAAAGACATCTACGTGGATGCAAGATGAAAAAAAAATACCGCTTGAGCAGGGAAAACGATTTGTGCAACTTATGAAAAACAGGACCTTTCATTGTGGGATTTAAAGAAGCTTATTTTAGTTGTAAAGCTAAAGTGGGTCTCGCATCTAAGCTATCCCAAGCTGTACAGACAACTGAAGAACTGGATAATATTATAGAAAGTGTACAAGCAATACATCTGGTAGTAACATAGCACCATGAACAAGATTCTGAGGCTACCGCTGAAAATACTGGCGAGATTACAATCCACGATGAAGGAAACCAAAGTAACAGGGAAGACGTTGAGGGTGAAGAATTACTTTTTTTCTGTCACGTGTTGTGTGTGCCTTAAGGAAAGCAGTGACGCCCACGAGGGCAGAAAGTGCGGACAAAACTTCATGCTGTATGTTGACATGCTCATAAAGATGTTGACGATAAAGAAATGGAAGTTTATGGGGGTCAATATTTGGTGAACTATTTACTTCAACATTGAGAGTGAACTAGAAAATAAGAGACAATCGAAAAGAAATCTGCATCATTGGGGGACATTATGCGGGTTTCTGTTTCTGCCGTAAACAAGAACGCGGTGATGCACGACATCGGCTAGCAGTTGTAGGGGATGGCATTATTACAATTAAGTGTTTGTCCACACTGCTTGTTCAAGAATGCAGATGTTCTTGACCACGAAATACCTCTTCAATCTGCTACTACTGCTCAGTCCACATGAACTAGCTTAAGATTGTTGATGTGTATTTGCAAGTGAAAGCGTTTAAATAACAAATTCCTATGCATAAAAAAGAAAATTAAGTGCAATTTAATATTTCATTCTAGTTTCCATGCAGCAACAAATAGTAAGCAAAAATACCCCTGATTCCTTTGTACTCCGCGTAAAGATTTCTTGTTGTTCATTTTTTTCTATCTTAAGTTTTTAACTGATGCTTAAGACTTTTGGAATTTGGGCATTTCACTCTTTGCTTGAGCATTTCATGTCAATCTTAGGCAGTTTAGATACTATTTTCATAATGTGTTAAACCTCTATTAACCAGAACATTTGAGAGATATATTAACAAAACGTTTACGTCGTGATTTTGTGTTTTGTACTCGGTTGTCGGTGTTACATTTTGAACATTTTTTAAAAGTAAAATTATTTTAATAAAATTTGTTTACTACTGACAAAAACACGTTTGATGTTTTCTATTTAATTTTATAGGTTGTGCTGATGCTAGATTTGATCTTGTGTTTGTTCTTGATGCTTCAACCAGTGTAACAGCACCAAACTTTGAGTTGATGAAAGACTTTATGAAAGATTTCCTTTTTGAGGCTGATATTGACAACGGCAATGTTAGGGTAGGTGTTGTCATCTACAGCACAGGGGATTATGTCCAGTTCCAGCTGAAAGATTTTTCAAAGAAAGAAGATGTATACAATGCTATTGATATTATTCCGTATCGCTATGGCAACACCAACACTGCAGATGCTTTGAAAACAATGAGGACAGTAATGTTTACTGCAGAGAATGGAGATCGTCCAGGCGTTGACAACATTGCTATTGTGGTGACTGATGGTATATCAAACATAAACAACCTGAGAACCATTCCAGAGGCTGATAAAGCACGTGCGCAAGGGATCCATATCTATCCTAATGGTATTAACCTGACAGACACTAAAGAGTTGGATGGCATTGCCAATAAACCATTAAGTCAGAACAGGTTTTCTGTACAGAAATTCACAGAATTGTCTCCCCTAAGATACCGGGTGTTTTCTGCGCTTTGTGGGGGTAAGTATGCATGTGTAAGATAATAAACAAAACTTCTTTATGTTTAGTTTAGTTAGCTGTCCTTGCTCCCATATTTGTTGTGTAGTGTCTGAATCTCCGTGACACAAAACTACATTTAATGAAGTAAAAAAGGCACACGAGGTTCACAAAGTATCATCCTATGTTACATTGTTGTTTTTTAATTTATTTGGAACATGATTATGCACAAATTGTAAAAAAAATTAACTGCAGCATGGGTTATTTAAAAACTGTATTGACCTACTAAAATTAAAAGATTGTAATAGGGTTTAATTTATTTTCACTTATATTGTGTCAGCCTACTCTATTTTAAACCAGATGTCAGTGCAACTCTGTCTAAGCCCAGAGTGGTTAAATTAAACTAATTTTTTTAATAAAAACATAAGATTATCAAATAATCATAACTTTATTAAATGTAAAACAAAAAAAAATTAACCAATGCAATCTTTAACTAAACAAAATAGCATACTCACTATTCTAAAATAAACACCATTACTCTAAACTAAACAACACTACTCTTAACTAAACAACACTACTGTAATCTAAACAACACTACTCTAAGCTAAACACTACTCTAAACTAAACAACACTACTCTAAACTAAAACTAAATGTAAGCCCTGCTGAGGGGGATCACTAAAATCTATCTATCCTTCCCTAGGCTTCTATATAACTGTCCGGGTCAGTGCAACCGTGGTGAAACCCACGGTGGTTAAATCTTATCCTTAGTCTAATTAAAAAACTACTAAAAATAAAACAAAAACTTTAAGAATATAATAAAATTTATTTAACAAAAATATGGAACCAAAACTTACATAAAAAAACTAGAATCTAGATCTAGATAAAACAAAACACTCAAGACATACAAAACAGAAACAGAACTCAACGAAACAAAACACTCAATTTCGGACCACCGTCCATTTTAAAATCCTAATCATATCAGCGCGGACTACTTAGCTAGAAAAAACAAAAATCCTCAGAGGAACACAAAAAGACATTCACCTTTTTGTAATAAAATAATTAAATAACTCCCCAGCCCCTTACATAAACAACACCACTCTAAATGAAACAACTCTTTAACTAAACTACACTACTCTAAACTAAATACAACTACTCTAAACTAAACGACACTACTCTAACTTAACAACATTATTCTAACTAAACTCAACAAAACATTTCTAAAAACAGCAAATTATAACACCCAGTCAATTACTACAAGTAAACTACACAGCATCAAGTGCCCCCTCATAAAAATCCTCTCCTAGTCGCCCACATTTAAAAAAAAATTAATCCTACCACTTTTACAACCTAGGTATACCCTTCATTTCACACTACACCAAAATACACTACAGACCAAAAAATGCAAACAGAAATTACCTTAATATTTGTAATAGTAAAAAATAGAATGCATAAAACATTATATTTAGCTTAATGTATAGGCCCTCTAGTGTAGTCATAGATGCACCGACATTTTAAAGATTGTTCTTGCTGTTTTAGCCACTTATTAACTCGTTCTTTAATATTCTTAATTTCCCCAACAGAACCAGAGCCAATAACTTCCAGAGCAGGTAATTAATATTTTTTTAAGATTAAATGTGTAAATAATCAGTGGAAAAATTACTGAAGCTTTTATCATTGAGATTCTTTAATAAATGTATGGTAGACTGTGTAGATCAGTGGTTCCCAACCTTTTTCGAGTGTTAACGCCAACCTATGTCATTTGTAATTATCTTAATTTTGTTTTTAATCGAAGAATAGTGTTGAAAATATATTCTCGAAAAGTCAATCAATTTTACGTTTGGGTATGAATGGTTAAATACTACACCAAAATTGTGTCTGCAGTTTTTCATCTTACTCGGAATCATTCTGCAAATCAAAGAATTCATCTTGTAATTCATCGGAAATGCTGGCAACATCAAGGGAAGAAGAGAATGGGTAATGCGTCAATACAGATTCTTCTTTTTTCAGCTCAGAGAAATAGCAATGCAGTTCGTTTTCAAGAGATTCAAGATGCCCAGAAATCGCTTCTTTCAAACTTTTAATTATCTCACAATCAGATTCATCTACCACACCGCAGAGTTTCTCAAATTTACAATATTTCCAAGATTTATTTTCTTTACAGATTTTGCAGCTTTGGGAAAAATGCCCCGAGATTATCATGTAAAGTTATAATATTCGTTCATTTTCCCTGAAGCTTCAGGTTAAGCTTATCTTGATGTTAGGTACGCTACTCTCTCCAACCACTCTATGTCGTTTTAAGTATTCCAAAAAGGTCTTGTTTCTTTTGCACCTCCAAGAACAATTTGTTTTCAGATTTCAATTCAAAAACACAATCTACAACATTTCGTTTGACAGGCAGCGTACTGTAGTGTAGAAGAGCAAAACCTCGTGATCTATATTAATGCTTTTGCTCAGTTCTTTGAAGCTCCAGAGTTTATATAATTTACGACTTATACTAGCAATGGACTCTTGATGTCGATTGGTTAGGGCAGTGGTTAGGGAGCTAAATCTTTTCTGTTTTCTGAAAGCCCGATTTTGAGCTAAACATAGATGGCGCACCATCCGTACAAACCCCCACAGCCGTTTTAACCCATTTTAATCATCCAGTTACAAAAAAAAGGTATTTATTTTCTCCCTGCTATCTTCACAAAACAGCAACTCTTCTTTGCTATCATCCGCATGAATATAGACACAGACCATCAACTGCGAGCACGAATTCACGTCTGTTGATTTATCAACTTGAAAAGCAAATAATGGTGAAAGCTTAATTTTGATAAAAATGTGTTATTTAACATTTACGTACATGCAGCGTTTGATGAGATTTTCTCCTATTGTTTTTTTTTTCTTGGCATTTTCTATCGCGACATCATTTGATGCTTGCACTAATTCTGGTGAAAACTTCCTGTTCGATCAAGTCTCTGGCGTTTGCAACTAGCTTCTTACCGACGAATGAACTCCATATATTTTTTGGTGTGTTCCGAATGACTCGTCTCAAATGGCGTTTTAGTTTTGAAGATTTCATAGATTCGTGACTGAGAACAACTTTGTACAGTGCGCTTTGATTCTTCTCTATTACATCTCCAGTGATGTTAATGAAGCCGAATTTAAAAAATTCTTCTAAATATTTATGTTTTGTTTCAAATTACTAAGGTTTAGTATACCAGTTGGCGACCCCCCAGAAAGACCTTTGCGACCCCCAGGGGGGTCGCGACCCCCAGGTTGGGAACCCGTGGTGTAGATCATACTATGCTAAATTTAGCCAATGGTATACACAGCTAGTGTAAAACCCCACATTAAGGTGGAAACTATATCAGATATACTTATATGTACTCTTTTTTGGTTTTTATTTTTAGTAAAAATCTAAAATTTATGTTTATTTGTCACAGAACCATTCATTCTGCCACTACCTAAATCAGGTAATCATTTTATTTTGGTACCTCATGAGCAATGTGAAGATGATAAATGCTTTTGCATATGTATGAATAATTTGAATAGGACCGTAAACTGTAAAGAAAAATGATTTTATATGTGTAATAAAAAGATAAATACAAAGCACTAAGGATTTTAGGATATTAACATCAGTACACAACTGCGCTTAATCTAATTAATTGTAATCAGGGTATATAGCTTCAGAAATTCATAAATAACTTTTACTTGCACGTTATGTAAAAGATAAGACATTTTAAAAGGTTTTTTTTTCTTCTTGTATAGTAGTTTGTCTAATGTAAAATGTAATTCTAATTATCAAGATTGTGCACTGGGCAGGGCTGATCTTGTTATTGTTGTTGATTCATCCACAAGTGTTTCTAAAGTGAACTTTAAGAAGGTTTGTATCTTTCTTTCCATGGTTTTGCTGTTAGTACTAGTCAAAGCAATTTGCATGCAGCATTGTACACATTGTTAGATAGGTCATACCTTTATTATTTTATTTTGTGTTTATTCAATTTCCAGATTATAAGTTTTCTCAAAGACTTTGTTTCCAAGGCTGATATTGATTCTGGAAATGTTCGTGTGGGTCTGATAATGTACAGCACTGAAGTCTATCCAATATTTGACCTGAATACCTACACCAAAGTAGCAGATATTATTCAAAAATTGGATACAGTTGACTATAACTTTGGATCAACAAATATAGCAGAGGCACTGGAAGTGATGAGGACAGATTTGTTTACTCCAGACAAAGGAGACAGGGCTGAAATCCCCAACATTGCTCTAGTTCTCATTGGTAGGTCTTTACAAGGGTCCTGGTCTCACATTGCTACTAGATCTATTAAAAGATATATGTATTCTTTAAAAAAAACATTTCCAGGCTACCTTTCCAAACCCAAAATTATCTAGCTGTTTCCTCTATACGTACCATAAATTAAAAAGTTTTTAACTACTTTTTATCTTTTTTTTTCATTTTTTATTGGGAATTCAGAGGGCCATACTAAAACAAACAACAGTCTTATGCTTGGAAATATTAAATTACACTTAATATAGAAGCAATAGCAATTAAAATTTAATTTAAAGGTTACTGTATACAAAAACAGAATATTTTTAAATTTCTAAAGCGTCGTTAGTTTTAACTATTATTATTAACAAATATTGTAGATGACAAGGTCTTAATACATGAGCAAATTATTATATTTTCAATGTATCAATTATTGCAACGACCTACACTTTTACTATTATATCTAAAGAAAGAAAATTAATTTTTGTATGTGACACAAATCATAGTGCCAAGGGGCAATAATCAGAATCTGATTTGATTGCTGGCCTTGTGGGTACATTTTTTTTCTTTTTTGAGTGATTTTTACAAGTTATTTCCATGTCATGTGACCTCTGGGGGATTTGGATTTGACTGTAGTGATGCTAGCAAAACCAGGCCTTGAGTGATCACAGTGCTGACTTAGTTGTTGTCAGTGAAATAGTATAGAGCTAATGAATGTATGGTTACATTATATTTTTGTACTTGTGCCGCATGCTGCAGACTAGATCTTTTAAGTATATGTTAATTATAGTCGTAGAATGTCTATTTTTGGGCAGTATTTTGTCATACTGGCCTGTAATTGTAAATATATTTTATTCTATTGAGTAGTGCCTTATCTAGATGATTAGACTGCTTGTTTTGGTAAGCCCTGGAACAAGTTTTTATAGAAAAGTGTGTAGCCTACTTTTATTTACACTATTTTAGGGTTAAATGGCATACTATTTGGCATTATGTTTGGCATTATAATTAATATCCTATACAGTATCATTGTTGACATCCTTTTTTAAACACCAGTCTATTGTAGGCTGCAGCTAGCCATTATTGTGTCTAGGCCATTGTGTCCTCTACAATTTAGTAATTGTTTGCCTCAGCTTATGCAACGCTAATATGTGGATACGCTTGGCTGAGACAAATAAAGTTTGGCCTGTTACACGACAAGTGTGTGTGTGTGTGTGTGTGTGTGTGTGTGTGTGTGTGTGTGTGTGTGTTTTGTCTCTCATGGGGCAGCATTAAAGCACTAAACCTCAGTGGGTGACCATCACATCCTATCTTCACTAAGGCAGTGTTACATGAACTTTTAGAACATTTAAAAGCTTATAATAATGTTTATTATTTTTGCAGATGGTTTGTCTACAGTAAATCCAGAGCAAACTGTACCCAATGCTAGACTAGCCCAGAATGATGGAATTCACATCTACACTGTTGGTATTGGCCTTTCTGACTATCGTGAATTAGACGGCATTGCAAGCCCTCCTGCAAAAGAGAACAGTTTTAAAGTTGCTTCCTTTGATGATCTTGTGCATGTTGATGACATGATTTTTGCTGCTGCATGTCCAGGTAAGAAATTTATACATTAGGTTATATAAACCTTCTTGAAATACAATTATTTATATAATTTTAGTACATAATACACAACTGACCTAACAATAGGAACTTCATTCTGGCTATATGTTGGTGTGAAATTTCCTAAAATTTCTTATTACAAAGTAAGAAAGCTTACATAATTAATTGAACTTTAATTGCTTTGCTTACAGAGGAGTTTACCTTCACAAAACCAAGTAAGAAATTTAAATGTTAAGCATGTCAGTTGCCTTTACCATAAAAAGGCTAATTTTACCTTTCTCACTGTAGGCATGCCGTTTTACTGTTCTTTATTAAATGAAAGGAGAAAAAGCTACGTTGTGTCTTTCTGCACCAACACTCCCTCCCTCCTTCCCGGCACCCCACACCACAAAATAAAAGATAGATAAGCTAATGAAATTAAAAAAAAACTTAACTATTGCATCAATTATCATGGAGTGTGGGGGATTTTAGTGTGTGGAGCGTAGGGTTTTCTTGTGTGTGGTGTGTGGGTTTCTGTGCGTGGGTTGGGAGGTCTTCGTGCGTGGTGTGGTTTTAGTAAAAGGTGTGTGGGAATTCGGTGTATTGTGTGTGGGAATTATGTGTGCGGTGTTTGGGAATTGTGTGTTGTGTGTAGGGTTTTTGTGCGTGGTGTGTAGTTTTACTGTGTGGTGGAACTGTGTGTGTGGTGTGTGGGTTTTTTGTGCGTGATGTTTGGGAATTGTGTGTGTTGTGTGTGGGGGGTTTGTGTTGTGTGTGGGGTTTTCGTACATAGATTCGGAAATAGAATCAGTACGCACTGAATACAACGTATAGAAAACTATACTGCTATTTCTATATTTGAACTCTATTACCTCCATAGCTATTCTTTTCAATATTATTTTTATGGAAGGTTGCTTAATTTTTTCATAACCTAGGTTTATCGGATACTACGTTGTATATTAAGTTGATTGTTAATAAAATAAAATAATAATTTAACAGTTATTTAGAAATGTTTGTATTGATCGAACGAATGAAGGGTTAATGTCGTAACATGACCTTGTCCTGTTCTGAGTATGTCGTAATTCTAGTTGAAGCAATGATGTTGTGTATGTCATAATTCTAGTTGAAGTAATGATGTTGTTGTGGTTTCCAAAGGCAGGGAGTAAATGTTGGTGTACTAAAACTGGTTGTGGTGTCTTTCAACCACTCACGGGGTTAAAGGTCAGACAATTGACAGCGAAGGGGTTATTCGATAATTAGGAATGTGTGTGTTGGTTTGGGTGTGAGTGTGAGTGACTGTATGACTATATTCTGGTTTGTGTGTGTGTGTGGAAGATCACAATTCCGTGTTTGTCTACAGGGCTTGTTCAAGAATGAAGATGTTCTTGACCTCGAAATCTCGCTTTAATCTGCTAATACTGCTCAGTCCACATGAACTAGCTAAAGATTGTTGATGTGTATTTGCAAGACTAAGTGTTTAGATAACAAATGCCTATGCATAAAATAGAAAATTAAGTGCAATTCAATATTTCATTCTAGTCTACCGAGCAGCAACAAATAGTAAGCAATAATACCCCTGGTTCCTTTGTTCCTTTTTTTCTATCTTATATTTTTGACTGATTCCTGAGACTTTTGGAATCTGGGCATTTCACACTTTGTTTGAGCAATTCATGTCAATCTTTAAGCAGTTTATATGCTATTTACATAATTTGTTAAACCTCTAGTAACCCAGGACATTTGAGAGATATCTAAGCAAAACGTTTACATCGTGATTTTGCGTTTTGTACTTGGTTGTCGGTATTACATTTAGAACATTTTTTTAAAGTAAAATCATTTTAATTAAATTTGTTTACTACTTACCTAAATACATTGGATGTTTTCTATTTAATTTTGCAGGTTGTGTTGATGCTAGATTAGATCTTGTGTTTGTTCTTGATGCCTCAACCAGTGTAACAGCACCAAACTTTGAGTTGATGAAAGACTTTGTGAAAGATTTCCTCTTTGAAGCTGCTATTGACAACGGCAATGTTAGGGTAGGTGTTGTCATCTACAGCACAGGGGATTATGTCCAGTTCCAGCTGAAAGATTTTTCAAAGAAAGAAGATGTATACAATGCTATTGATATTATTCCGTATCGCTATGGCAACACCAACACTGCAGATGCTTTGAAAACAATGAGGACAGTAATGTTTACAGCAGAGAATGGAGATCGTCCAGGTGTTGACAACATTGCTATTGTGGTGACTGATGGTGTCTCCAACATCAACAACAAAAGAACCATACCAGAAGCTGAAGAAGCCAGAGCACAGGGTATTCACATCTATGCTATTGGTATTGGTCTGACAGAGACCAAGGAGTTGGATGGTATTGCCAGCAAGCCAGTGGATGAAAACAGATTTGCAGTACAAGACTTTTCAGAACTCAGAGAACTCAGGCATAAAGTTTTATCTGCTATGTGTAAGTTTTCAAATTTTATAACCTATTCAAAAATATATAAACATCTAAAATTAAACATTTTTTTAAAAGGATGCAGTTATAAAAGATTTAATTATATTATCTCCTATTGATTATTGCTTATATTTGTCATTTTAATTTTTATTATTTTTAGCAGTTGGTTTAAATAAGAAATATACTTTAAAAATAATAGTATATATTATTAAAATTCTATGTACATGACTTAAATTTTAGAGCAAGTTTTCTTCTTTAATGTTGGTCTACATCATTTAAAAACGAAATTAAAGTTTATTCACATTTGTTTTTACAGGCTCAACATCTGCTCCAGTTGTTACCCAGCCACCACCACCCCCACCAACAACAGTAAAAGCTTTGGCTAGTAAGTTTATTATTTAAGCTTATATTATGTCTTGTGCAGTCTAAATTTTTATAAACAAAGTAAAAGTAGCCTTTAAAGAGCCTGTCTTTACTCTGCGCTGTGTAAGTCTTCAAATTTTGCAATCCTGTTATAAATATTAAAATCTGTAATATAATTTTTTTTTCTAAAAGGATACAATTATAATGATGTAGTTGTTTTAACCCTTTGCAATTTCTATTTTAGCTGTAAATTAGATGCGTATTAATAATTAGAACTCTCTGCAAAGTACTTATAAGTTGAAATAGTTCTCTTCTAATATGTTGGTCATTGTCTGTTTTATTTTATTTTAATAACGTCTTTAAACAAATGTTTTTTACAGGCTCACCATCTGTTCCAATTTTTACCCTGCCACGACAACCCCAAACAACAAGAAATCCAAAATCAACAACAGTAAAAGTTTATGCTAGTAAGTTTATATTTTTTATATCGGTTTTAGAGATAATAATTTACTTATAATCTAAGAAAAATGGTTCCTTCTAAAACGACATAAGTCAAAATTTGTTTGATTATTCAACTTTTCTTAGATCTGAATAATTTAAAAATACTTTGTGTAATTAAAACAGAGTTATATGAGATATATTTATATACCTTGTGTTCTAATCACAAGCCTTTACTTTACGAAAATGGATTTGGGAAAATGTTTTAAAAATCAATTGTGCTAAACAACGTAATAATTATTTTTACCATGTGTAATGTGTTTTTTCTAAATTAGGGAATCACGTAAAAGTAAGAAGTTGTCATAAACATTTTGATTTTTATACAATGTTAAAATTAACAATGTTTAATTACCTTTTCTAATTCAATCCTTAACTTTGCTCAATGCTAATGTTAATTTAGATTAGATGACACTAATATTAGTCTTTGTTTATACAGTTTCAACATCTGCTGCATTTGCTACTCCTCTAGCATCAGCATCACAAACATCACAGACTATGTCTAGTGAGTCTGATTTGTTTTTTAGACATTACAATATTGTGATTTATCAGTTATATGTGTTGTGTAATTTTTCAGCAAAGCTGTTTTATCTTTGAAGTATTTGCCGTTAATTTCACCAAAATCTTGGTTTTTTTAGCAACAGATTTATAAATACTTGAATGCATTTAGATTTTAGTTTGACAAAATCTTTTCTTCGATAAAATGCCTACATGTCTAAAATATTCAGAACGCTTTCATTTTGCGAAAATCTAAAATTTATTTTGTTCCTGTGAATGCTGCACTAAACTATAAGGTAAGAAGTAAATAACATTTGGAAACTAGTTATTGGTTACTTATTAATAATTAATTATGTTCGAATAATGAGTAATGAATTAAACTTTTAGAGTAAGTGTAGTATTAAGATAACGATGTAGTTAAATATGGTTATGTAGCCATTCTATTAATGTTTTTTAGATTGCCTGCTTTGATTTTTTTTTTCAGTGGTTTTGAATAACTTTTCACTAGGTACTGGTCCAGCATTCTGAAACACATTCTTCACCCAGAATCTTTGTAGACTACATCAAATGCATTCTAAGTATAATGATTTGATTTTATCAACTTTATCATCAACTTTTTATCATGCACTCTACCATCCTATCACCATTCCAAACAGTCGACCTAAATATTTGTACTTATTATTTCTTAGTTTATTTTTATTGTAATAAAAATTAGGTATGTTGAAGACGCCATCAGCCCTGGTAGCATCTGTGCAAGATCTGTTGAGAAGGATGTCATTCATGTGATGTACGTATAAAAACAGTTCCTTCATTATTATTATATTATTAGACAATCTCCACATCGAAAGGTTTCTCATTAGTGTAATAAATCACCAATAGAGCCGTTTTGTGGTTTTTTTTCTACACCCGTTGAAGACAATGTTGGCTTTCGGGTAGAGAATTTGTGTAATTTTGTGGTAAAAACGCAAAATCTTGAAATTTAAAACGAAAATATACAAAGACTAGCCAGCTATGTAAAGTTTGACAAAATGATTTTAGTTAAAACGCCATACACAATACACTTGCCAGACTTTCTACAGCTCTTATATCAGATTTGCCTTGACAAGCAATACTTACGTGTATGAAAATAAGATTTAACTTGTAGTCATCTGACTGTTTAATAGGTTTACATTACCAATTCCTGGTTACGTCACTGGTAAGCTTCATTCAAACAAACCAAGCAAGTAAGCCTTTATATTACCTCATGCATGCAACTGTTAGGAGAAGATTGTTCAAATTCACTCTTTTAGCCCACCCCCCCCCCAATCTAATTCTCCCCCCCCCCTCTCTCTCTCTCTCTCTCCCACTATTATAAAAGCGTAACAGGCGATGCTCCTTACCTGTTCAAACCTCACCTTCAGCAATTCTCTCTAATATTTTGGTTTTCCAACAGCCATAGACAGAGCAGCCAGTAGGATAACGATCTTCTCGGCGAAAAATATAACACTTTAAAAAAACATAGCTACGGATGTCATACTTAAATGTACCTGTATATTATTTACCTAAATTATTTTTGTAAAGGCCTAATCCGTTTTTTTTTAAATTTTAACAGTATGAACATGTAAGGACCGCTAGAAAAGATAAACAGACCATACACACCTCTGTGAGATGATAACAATATTCAGTCAAATACTTGGCTTTTAACTTGGAAAAATAAAAATTCTATTAAAAGCTTTACATCTTTGTTATTTGAACAATACATTTAAACTAAGCGATCAGCATAACAATATGGTTCTACGGGACGTTTTTAAAATAGAAATAACTGAAACGAGACATCAAGAGCCAAACAAAAGCAAACATAGAAAAATTCATATATACAAGGACAGAGTAACACAGATTTGGGAAACAAAACATAATGAGAACGATTAGGATATCAGCTGCGGTTAAAATTGTACTGATCACACATTCAGTGTGAAGGCCGTGCACACTAAATAGTAGAGCTTGAAACCCTGGGGATAATGAGAAATATGTAAACGTCGTATGGTCTTAACAAGTTACTTTATCTTAAAGATATATTGTGGACAGTTTAATATTGAAAGGAAACGTTAAATTAACGAGATTTTAAACGAAGTGTAAATTTTTTTTAAATTAGTTAACTAAAATAAAAGTAAACCTTGTCAAGTGGCTACATAAGATCATTTTTAGATCTGGATTTCGTTACACTCCAATGGTTTACTTACGGAGAAGAAAAGTGAAGAGTGAAGGCATGGATTATTCTACTCCACAAACCTGTACTGCTCGATTCCCATGTAGGCCTTCACAAACAGTGGATGCCACGTAAACGCTGAGAATTAATTGCTACTAGCAGCTGAACAGCTGAACATACTAGTAACATGGTTAAATGATTGGTGTGCACTGTGTTTGTGGGGTTTGTAGAAACGTGACAGCTAATATTTCTTCTTGAATATTTCTCGTTTTTATTTACAAATCTATTCACAAACATTGTTTATTGAAGTTGAAATAATGCATATGATATCCACAGTTGGAATAGTAAATTACACTACTTTCACGTTAACATGATAGTAAATATTTTAGTTTCAGTTACATGAGAGTACAATCAATGCATTCGTATTTGTATGAAGTTGGTCTTCAATAAAAACTGTTTGGACCATTTGTAATGAAGACGACATAATAGAATAGTACAGGAATAATCCACAAACGAACTGATGTAGTAGCAGCTTATATTTTCCCTCGAGGCACACAGTTTCCCCATACATTCATCTATGTGGCCTCACGAATATGCCATTCCCCAGGTTACATACACTCTCATTATCGCAATCCAGTCTGTGAGCGATACCCAAAAAAAGAATGACAAAAATGATTCATCGTTCACTCATTTACTCCCAATGGTGCAGTATTCACCCATCACACTCGATTCACTCCAAACTCAATACACAATCATACAGTCTGTTACAATACTGATGTGAAAACAACTTTGTACATCAGTCCCGCATAAAACGTGGAGTAGCTGTGTAGGCTTCAAGTGTACCATACATCTCTGGTTTAATATTCTTCTGATGTAGTTACATTAATTGATAAGTACAAAAGGGCATAGTAGCTTCGTCAACTTATCCGAACATATGCTTTGCTTGAAGATTAAAGAAAAGGAATACATTAAAAAACGAATATTACAATGATATCACAGTATTCTCTGAAACACCAATAAATTAAAAGCAACAAAGTGGAATTCCCCGTTCATTTCAAACATCATGTGAAGTCAGTGCCGTTAGCCATTACGTCATAGTGGAATCCAGGACACAAGTTGATGAAGGATTTAACCAGTACTGGAGCGTTTATAGTAAGTGAAATCAATACTGCCACGTTTAAATGTGATTATAATCAAAACTGCTACATATATATAAGCGTCACTAATACTGCCACGTTTATTTGTAAGTACTGTCACGTTTATATGAGTGTTGATTTGCAGTAACGTTTATACGATATTACAGTCAATGCAGTCGCATTTGTATGAAGTTGGTCTACATTAAAAACGTGTACGGACATTATTAAATACAACTAGGCTACCCGTTATCTGTAGATAACTGGGTTTTGGGAGTCATCCATAAATTACGTCAAGTTTGTTTGATGATTTTTATCTTTCCCCTCCCCTTCCCCACTGTCACATATCGTCACAAAAAGCCAGAACCCACATTTAAAAAAGCATCACACCTCAGGCAACATGTTTTGTTTTCTTTTAAAAACGTCGATATTGCTTGAGCATGAGTTTGATTCCTGCATCCCTGCATATGCTGAGGTCACAGAAACAGGTGTACTTCAATTACCCTGTGTCTCACAAAGTCCCAAAAGGCAACTTTATCAATAACATCTAAAAACATGAGAAAGTAAAATTAATGTTATTTTAAATTAAAGTATATCCTAATTTAGCCAATACAATTGTCAGAGAAAAATAATTTACCTAAAATAACTGGTAATCCCCCAGTATACAATTTTACTATGATTAGATGATCTAGATCGAATTGTTAATGGATT